ACAAGAAGTGAGTTCTGATATTTTTTGATTATAAATTTTAATGGCATTGACCAAATCTGTCTTTTTTTATATCTTCATGAAATTTATGAAAATCGATTTTCAAATAATTTCGTAGCTTGCTAAAAAGTTCACAGTATTTTGGAGGCGCATAATTGCACGTAAAGTTGAGACAAAGGAAAGTAACAAAATGAAATGTCTCGCATCAGAATTGAGAAAATTGCTTCGAATATAAATTCTTATTTTTCATTTTTTAAGTTTTTAAAACTACTTTTCTAAAAAGCAAAACCTTTGGAGTGGTGCTTCCCTTACTCTTCATAAATAAAACCCCAGTAATAGTGCATGCAACGATTCTTACTCACTATCCTTATGGAATAAAATAATTGTTTGTTTTTGCTTTCTCTGATCTTTTTTGTGTTAACATCCCTTATATACTTCAGATGTAAAAATGTGTGGCTCTGAAAAACTACAAAATAGGCAATCGAAAATTTTTCTACCAAATTTGTCACTGAGTAAAACAGGTCTATAAACTCTTCGTATATTCATATCCAAACGTTTATACACGCCCTTTTCTTAATATTGGAAATTGCACATTGTATGCACATATACATATATGACACATTAATGTGTATGCATGTTCACAAGACCCTTGGCAATCGATGGCCTTTTACTTATTATATCCGCTTGATTGCGCTCTGGCTGCCCGGTGCTACTAAACACTCGTCCATTGAGAAAAATTAATAATTCAGAAGGTTATCAATCGCTGTTATATATTTATTTACTGAAAGTATTGATTTCCTCCTTTTCAGAGATTGTATATTTTCTATTCCACTGGCTTAGATTGAGAATCAAAGAAAAAGGATTGTAGAAAAATTACATCTGTCTCAGAGTGAAAAATCACTTTAAATTTAATGCCTTTACTTTATAGTGGTCACTAAATGTTTAATAGAAAATCATAGAAGGGTAATTAAGTACCCTATCTGAATTCTCCGAATTCGTTTTAAAATTTTATGTTAAAAGTAATTCCGCTAGACATTGTCCTCAACTCGAAAAAGATGAATGAATTAATTGAAATGTTCCACAAAGTTTTGAAGTAGACTTTGCTCACAACGAGCTTGATTCGGAGAAACCCCTTCACTTGCAGAGTTTCTTTTCACCATATAAGGGAAAGTTGATACAATTTTCGCTTCGTGTCTCTATTTAAGTAGCTCAAACATTTATTAACATTTAGCTTATGCAATAATAATAATAATAGCTCCAGTTGTATATATTATATGTAAAATATATTGTTAAAAATATACTGCCTTTCAAGCTGCTCCAAACTTTTGGACCTTTTTCGATTTATCTGTTCCTCGCCTATATCCGATAAATAGAATATATAGACTTTGTTTTTTCTCTGGCCGTTCTAACTGTATTGATCGGAACCTAACAGTCTTTAGTCTCAATTATGCTTCAATATATATTTTACTCTCTGCTGGAGATATTTAATACAGATATAATACTACAGATTTCACTAACATATTTTATTCATATTTTTGTGGGTATATTGTGTCTATTTGAATTGCAGAGAATACTATACACTACACTACAACTACCACAAAAACATAATCACCGCATTTACCTGCAACTATGTAATACTACTGGAGCATTACATACAAACGCATAGAAATACATAGCATTAGTAAAACATAATAACGCAAAATAGTCCTTTCTTGCTTGTGGCATAGTTAGAGTATTCAATTTGCCTCGTAATAACCGTAATGATGATGATAGCAATCTTCTCAATGGCAAGAGGCACAAATGTAGCACAGCATGTAACCTAGTATTAATTTAAATTGGTCAGAAAATTTGTAAAAATCACAAATCGAATTGGAGTAGGCACTGGAACTGGCATTTATGCAGCCGCACAATAGGAGGCCATTGCGCACCACATTAGTATGGGTGCGTACGAGCCTTGTCAGCCATTCATTGTTGTTGAAGTTATATACATTATGGTGCATAACCACAATTGAACAATGCAAAATATAAATGTATGTATGATTATTTCTATTCGAATCCGGATACGATGCATGCCATTCGAATGTGTTTTAAATGAAGATCACCGAATGTACACTCCGAAATATTATTTTTTTCAAATTTAAGCTTGAAATAAAAAATATATATTTAGAATTAAATGTCATTTGGCCTTTTTTTTAAGTTTGGAAATTGTCATCTAAAACACAACTCCGATTGACTCAGTCTGACACTCAGTAATCTAGAAAAGACAATTAAAAAACAAGTAAGGAAGTTCTAAGTTCGGATGTTACCGAACATTTTATACTCTCGCAACTTGCAAGGGAAATTACGTCAAGTGTTGGCAAAATTGTATATTAAAGGTAGTATTCATCCGATTCAACCCATTTTTGACACAAAAACATTCTATTGTCGAGAGTTTCATTTATTTATTTTATTATATGAATTTCAATTAAATATCTTACACATTGACCGATATTTTCGGTAAAAAGGCAACTATAGGCATTGAGGTCCACATATTCAGTACCTAGGGGCTTGAACAGTTTTGGCTCGATTTAGACAATTTTTGGTCAAAAGGTGGCATCCTTTAAATGCATTATACACGCAAAGTACTACCTCGATACAATCATTGTTGTTTGATTTGCATAGAGGAAAGTGAAAGAATCAGACTTTTTAAAAAACTTTTACTGAAGATGCCCCTCCCTAATGTGATCCTGTATACCAAATAACAGTCTTGTATCTTATTGTTGAGCTTAGTTATGTCAATTTATTTGTTTTTGATTAATGGCGTTTTGTGGGCGTGGCAGTGGTCCGTCTTACGGTAAAATCAAACATATATACCAAGTCTCATAAAGATATCTCAATTTTCAGCTTGCACAGACGGACGGACAGACAGTCACCCGAATTTCAACTCGTCTCTTCATCCTGATCATTTATATATACATAACCCTATATCTAACTCGATTAGTTTTATGTGATACAAACAACCGTTAGGTGAACAAAACTATTATACTCTGTAGCAAGCTGGCTTAAAGATAAGCAAGTCAGTAATATGCTTTAAAGTATAAAAATTTACTGATAATATCTAAGTTCACAATTACACAAAAATATATTTCACATATAATATATTAATTTTCTCAGTGTATCTGTATGTGAGGAGTTTGAAATTCGCATTCTGTTTTGATATTTGATAGCTTGGACTCAACCATTTGTGGTCAGATATTTATTTTACAATAATCTGACGTATTCAATGGCAATAATGCTGAAATAAAAAAAAAAAATATAAAATCTGATTTCAACGTAACCTGGTGAGAATTTCATAGAGATTTGATTTAACTGTATAATGTATTAATGTGTAATTTATGATATTCATAATTAACGTCCTTAACAAAAAATATTTTTACTTGACAAAGATATAAATATATATAATATATTATATAATATCACTGTCATGGAGAATTCATTTTATTGGGTATATGAAGCAGAAGTATGGATTTAATTCATATGTTTACATGTACCATATATTAAATCATATAATTAGTAAGATTATTAACATTATATTAAACATATCATGTTCGCTGAAATTCTATATGAAATCAATCGATATAGACCGTTATTAAATATACATTTATTTAATAAATATATGTATTTATATACCAAAACTGCCTTTAGTTATGAGCACTATTTGTGCTTCGATTAAATGGTGTTAATTAAGATTTGGTGATACATTCATTTTATATGCTAAGAGGGCGAAATGGAAATGATAGATGTGAACCAAGTTCTATCAGTATCACGAGACCAAACATTGAGAAGAGAGTACTGCTGTAGAAGAGCTATTAGAAAGAGTTGCGATCTCGCATCAAAAGTGATATTTTGGCGCTACGAATCCGTAGTCAAGCCAAAATTATTTTATAGAGTATTCGTTTAGTATAGAGAATATCTGTGCACCACAAAAGGACAACATCAGCAATGGCACTGAATGGCATACTTCACGTAACACTCGTGGATATAATCGGCAGGTGTATTGCTGCTAAGATCGCTATAAGACTAAGTAATGCTGGGGACATAAAAGAGTACAAGCACAGACATTCTAAAATTCTCTCCTTCGACTTTCCCTGAAAACTGAAATCACCGCATCCGAAAATATACTCCTGGTAGTTTTTTCTCTAGTTTTTCACAGATTGGTCGATGTTTAGAGGGTATGTTGCTACTCGTTAGGGTGCCTAGTCATAGCGGAATCGTTGAAGCTAGGTTTCCGTTATCATTCTGCGTTCTAGCGCTGGACCTTTGAACTTCTCGTGAGCTTAGCAGACGCTTGTCCACAATTAGATAGATGAAACATTTTGGAAGTCATAGATACGGTGAATCTGGTGAAATAGCCGCCTCAAAAAAGTTGTGAACCGTTAGCTAAACAATAGTTATGTGTTCTAGTTGCGAGAGCAAATTAGTCGAACAAAATATGCAAAATTTTTAAATAGATCTATATATTATTAACCTGCCATAATCGTAAGTTTAAATTATCATTCACTTCTCCAACCTCTTGCGAGTTCCTCCACTACGCACATTTGGACATACATTTTTTGCAAAAATATAAAAAAAAAATTAAAAATCGCGTATGCATTTCTTGCGGTTCAATAAAATACATTATGTGCATAATATGCTTAATTTGGGGCATGATTGTTTAGCTGTTTTCCACCTAATTTGTTTCGGCGCAATTGAACGCATTGCCAGGCACATATAACGGTATATTTGCATTGCAAATCCACTTCCGCTGGCAATTGCCTCATCGCCATTTTGTGAGCCGAACAAAAACATTCACAAATACATACATACATATAGATAGATGTACTATGTTTGTTTCTCATTATAAATATCAACACTCGTATTCCTGCAATCCCCGGTGGCTGTCGTTTTTGCATCGTTAACTTTCATTTTCGTTGTCGGTATGCGCCATTATTCCACTCTATTAAATCGGAAATATCAGATATTAATTCGATTCCGTTTCACGTAACTAACGGTATTCTCAACTACGTGTATTTAATCACAATTACTTAATTTAGTATATGCCATAAATTAGTTTTCAAAAATGAAGCCGAAAATGCCACATTTTTAACCATCTGAAAGCTGTACTTTCGTTTATTACATAATTAGAGAATTTTATACAGTACACATCCTTTTAATCTCTTGGCATCTCATATTTCCAGCCTGGACATAGGTTAGTAGGTCTTTTGGTTGTGAATTCATCGGGAATGATGCCATCCGCAATCAAAACTGGATTTCTGACTTGTTGCGGACATTGAAATATGTTGAACCAGCGAGAATAATTCGTAGTGCCAGCCAAGCAAGTCCTAGTGTAGTACCTCTATAAATAAACAAAAACACAACTGCGTTATATAGTGTCATAATTACGGAAAATTACATACCGTATTCGTCATCAAAGCGTAGCAAATGCGAAAGCATTCTCCGTTTATGCTTCGGGCAGGTCTTTTCTTTTCAAAATCTTCTATATCCACTAAAATTTAAGTTTTTAATTTTAGAAATTTAGAAAATATTTGAATATGTCGAGATTTTTTCACAGTTGTTCTGCATTTTCTCACTTTTTCCTATATTCGCGCGCACTTTGCAAGTGTGATAAGAAACTTCGGCAAAGCAAAGTAGATTTCCATAAAATGCTATTAATAGAGAGAATGAAATTAGCAGCAGTATTCTCTGTCCAAGCGTCATTCCACTACAGTAGCAATAACTAAAATTTGGCGCTATGAGTGCTATAACGATCGCGAATGAAATATATAGTGTAAGAACTTTTACATTTAAATAAAAATCCAAACTAAGGTGTTCCTTTTTTGGTACTTGTGGTGAAAACAAATAAGAATGTTGACTATTGGTATTGTAAAAGCGAAAGTTGTTTTGTTTTTGTAAAGAGAGAATACTAGATGGGGCTGCTGTAACTAATTAATTAACAATACTGTGCCTTTTTTATTTAAAAAAAACACATTTTATGTAAATAAAAAACAGACTTTTGAAGTAACGTAGAAACTTAATTTTTCTTCGCAATCGTTTGCACCCTAAAGATTCCTATTCATTAATTTCTGAGAAATTGCAATTAAAATAGTTTGATTAGTTTCACTATAAAAATACAAGTATAACCGTTAAATTGTTAATTTTTCATTCATCATTTATTGACACTAACAACAACAAGGAAATGTATTATTTTTACTCGGGACGTGAAAAACATTAAACGAATTTATATTTTAAATAATTCTTTATGGAACTAATACTAGTATAGTAGTACAATATATATCCATCTAATAGTAGTATAATATATATCCAAGTCAGTGAATCTGAAATTAAAAATTATTTATTCAATAAAAAGTTTAATTTCTCAAAAAGGTGTTTTTTCCAACTCAAAAATAATGGGTTTCCACAAAGAATATTTTTTGCAATTATTGTAAAACAAAAACTACAGTTTTGACCTTCCCCCTTTTTCATGGATGTCCACGAATACGATTTTTCGTAATGTGGTAAAGCTTTTCGGAGCTTGAAATTATGGCAAGAAAACATACTCCATTTTAAGATGTGCGACTAAACGGATCCAACATAACATAGGAATAGGTACTATACTGTCGACTAAGGTAAAGAATTTATATTTAATTAATTTTTAAGCACTATTAACAACCTTCTAAAATAATCCGACATAACATAAAATAAAATAAAGAAAACCAGAAATCGGTCGATTGGTATAAAGGCAAATGTAAGACAATTCAGTTAAACTTATTAGTAAACATAACCTATAAACTATAAAAAATGTATTTGTCAAGTAGTTAGTTGAATACATACCCTATTTACAATGTTTTTGCTTTACAACGTACAAATATACATATTCGAATATATTTATTTGCTTATATATGTTCACTTTTTATGCTAAACTAATAAAAAAGGCAAATATTTTCCTTTGTAACACGGCAATCATCCTTACGTAATACACAATAAACACCTCGTAAATATTTTGGCATCAATTTAGCAAAGGGTGCGTAATTGAATTCCATATAAGCCGCAACATTGCAAAAACATACCGCACAGTGAAACAATTCCAAACGACGCAAATACAAATTTTTACAAATACAAATATAATATATACATATTTCATGTGTTGAAAATTGACCACAAATTGCAGAAATAAAAAATCAATTTTTTTTTTTTGGAAGCATAAAAGATGTGATTATGTACAGACCGGAAATGCGACACTGTGGTCCTAAGGTAAGTTTGATACGCACGCACACACGCGCACCCCTGTTCCAGGCAAATGCAAACATAAATAGTGTGCAAAATCGCATTTACTCGGGATAACAAAGGGTTAGCGTGAACCCTACTCAACTGCCAATCAGTGGCAGTGATAAGTAATAAAATTGGGGTGCACCTAACAGTACATAATACCAACGCAGTAAATACTAATAAAAAAAAACTAGCTTTTTGAGAGGAAAAACGAAAAGCAATTGAATTTACCGCGTTTATCAGTTTCCTGCGCCTAAGGCTCGCAACGACAGGTAAAAGGTGAATGCATAACACACAATCGGAAGATCTTAATCTATGCAAAAACAAAGTACTTAGCTTAAAGTAAGCAAAAAAATTAAATATTTATGTGCTATTCTAATAGGCGTGACACCTTGAAAAGCACCGTCAATATTATATTTTTCGATAATTGGCTTTACAAAGCAGAAATAATTTTCTTCTCACGTAACCTTCAAAGATAATATCACCGAAGTCTTAATAAAAACCATTTATGTAATCGATATTGACTATTTTAAATCTGAAAATGTTGTTCGAAACGTTTCATGATATCAGCGGAGACTTCTCGAAAGTTGTAACTTCAGTTATTTGTATTAGTTATTAGAAGGTATTACATTATACACATTTTCTTAATTAAAAAAGAAAACTGCGACTGTCTGTCTATCTGATTTCAAGTAAGAACAAAACAAGTAACAAAATTAATTTTCTAGTAAATTCAGATTCTATATTATAAATCGTATAGTATGTAAATAGACTTCAATCTTCTCAATAAGCCACAAGAGCGAATCTTATTAAATTACAGAGAGAGGCAATAAAAAATGTGCTGAATTCAAACGCTAGGCTACACGTGAGCCAAAGAGAAAGAATGGAAAAATATTGTTAATTTTTAAAGCGTCACTATTAATACGTTTATCAGCGATCAGAAACTTTTTGAAATGGCATTTTCAGATGTGTAAGTATTGTACATACGAGTAAATAAAAATATACGTAAAGGTATGTAACATTTTATATATGTGTCGCATCACGGTGTGTATGCAAATGCGCTGATAGTAGTGACAGGTGTAAACCTCATTTTGTGAATCCAAATATTTTGTTTTATCAAACGCAACAACAACATTGCAATGCAGTGAATTTAAAATCAATTTAAAATTCATTTTAAGCAAAAAAATAATATAATAACATCACGCCACCAACAGCACCAACGTAACTGAGTATAAGGGTGGAAAGAGGTTGCATTGAAAGCGACCGCAATTTTCACTCAAATTGCCTCTGCATAATAGGGGAAATCGCAGTAATACAGATAGCGAAAGGGAACGTTACAACAAGTGCGCAAGCGATGAAGGTGGGCAGGTGGGTGTGCTCTTAGAGATACTCATGTCATTGATTTCAGTCAATTTGTGTGTAGGCAAATGTATGCATATGCATTAGGGTATCATTCGCGTGAGTGAAATTAGACTTACCGTTCATATATATACCTTAATTTACGATAATATTTGATTATATTGACGTAAGTGTTATCTCTTAAAATTGACACTGAACTATTTGAAATTGGTTCTTGCATAGTAACTTACAACAAATTACCTATAAACAAAATATTGGTCACCCTAATATATTTGAATATCTACATACGTGGTATATAGAACTGTAGCTCATATATATATAAAGGACATATATCATATTTCCATTTGAACACGCCTGTAAGTGGCACACTTAAGTTCCACACACATACACAGACAACTGTAAACAGAGTGAATACGTATGTATTTTCGCTGTTATTATTATGCCCTCGAGTGTTGTTGTGAATGTGAAATTTGTAATCGAATTGATGTTTTAGACACCAACCAACCTTTAAATATTTTTTTTATTTAAATTAAACCTTTGTTGTATTTTTCTTTTACCAACAAAGCATTCGCTACATTGAATGTGAGCTACAAATCACAAACTGTTTCTATAAAAAAAAACTCTAAAAATTACAACATACGCATTATTCTTAATTTTAATGGATATTTATTAAGTTCACAACGAAGTTCTATTCTTTCCAAGAAGCCAAGGAGCGCAACCGCTGATATCGGGCCACTATATCACATAGCTGCTATACAAAATGACCGATAAAAATCAAGTCGTCGTATGGAAAGCTTTTTTATTTGACCAGATATATTTACGAAATTTGTCATGAATTTTTATCCAAGTTAGCGCTACAATCTCCGCACAATTTGTACAGGTCGGACCTCTATAGCTTATAACTGCCATACTAACTAACCGCTCAATTCTATTATTTTACATACATTGCACTGTTATATCTCCACAAAAATGTTTATTGAAAAACGGTTTGAGGCATTATTTCGAGGTTGAACGATTTTTATGTGCAATTGATAACCGAATGTATGAGCATATACAGTTCGCGAAAGCCAAATCCACGTAAACAAAATGTTTGCATACAAAACGATCCCCATTGGCGAATAAATTCAAAAATAAAAATGCAAATGCTCGTGAATGTTCGCAAGTTTTTGTTAAATTATACCAAACGCTTTGGAGATATTAATTTATTACCACAAGTATTTGCACAATAAAATATAGCAAAGCAATTTTGTGAATTTAAAATTTGAATTGAAATAGATTATGGATTTCTATTGTATTATATTATGTTTATGGTATGTTTTCCACAAAATCAACACCACCCTGATAGACTGCAATCTATGTTCAGTAATTAAAAAAAGTTTTATAAAATTGTTCTCTGCTGTAACAGATCTCGGCTGAACAGAATTGAAAAGCAAATCAATTATGCTCCTACTATTGTTACGTGAGCGGTACAATAGACCTATAGGTAAAGTACTTTACTGTTTTTTATTGACAACCAACTCATCACAGCTCTCTCTTCTTCAGTACAGTTATTTGAAATTTCTGCTCAATAAACTTAGTGCTCAAAATTCTTTCAATCGCCAAATATACCTACATTTATAATCGAAAAGTTAGACCTTTAGTTCGATGCAACAACTTGTAAGAATTTCAAAATCACAATTTTTATTCAAAGACAATTTGATATGTATACTACAATAGAAGACCCTGGCCTCGGCTTGCTGTGGCTAAGATATAATTAAATTATTGTATATTTGAGTAAGCTGTTTAATATAGTAAAAATATTATTATCGAAATTAATTTCGGCATTTTTTGCTATCAATATAGTCCGATTATAGAGCCAGTTTTGATTTAAGTAATTATTTTGTTTTTTTGGGAAAATACTGCCAATTAATTTTTTTTCCGTGTACAATAGTGCTGAAATTATCTGGCAATTAGCCTAATCCGATTATAAATAGTATTTTGTTCATCTGTTAGTAATGGCTCACTCTTCGCGATAATTTTAGTTAAATTACATGGTCATATTGTTTCATCATTATACTCCAATATGCTTAATTAAATGACATAATTATCAATGTGGATAGCATAATCGTCTTCTTCATGATAAAATACATGTACAGACTAATTTTCGTAACAATCGGTTAAACGATACAGAGGTCGATACATTGTCGGGCCACCTGGTGGCGAGTTACGTCAATGGGGATAGCATTAAAACTTTCTCCGTGACAAAATACATATGCAAAAATAGTTTCTGAGTCTATCGATTTCATAATATACACATCCTGCTTTATATATATAGATAGATAATGACGAAAAAGCGGAGAAAGTAAGAATATAAAAGCAACGTTATCTTTCGAAAACCAGAAAATAATTAGAGCGGTCGCCTTGGTAGGCTTTTAGTTGACGTGGCTAAAGTAGGATGGTGATATATCCCTATATATGTAAATACACATATTATATATATAATATATTTGAAGTAAAATTTTATGTATATGTATGTACAAGATGTATGTAACACTAATTGAAAACTATTATTGAAAAGGTAAAACATTAATGAGTTACTGGGTGAAGAGCGCATCGCAGTAGAGGTATTCACTAAAATCTTATTAGCGACAAAGTCAAGTCAATGGCAGGCCCGCAGGAAATACCAATCAATTGCTCTGCAATTGACGCCGATTCGATACTCAAGCTTCATTACGTCATTAGCAGATGCCTCATATGCGTCTACACTTTACACTTCACAACAATGCCTTGACTGTCAATGGCAGAATTTGAAAAGCAACAGGCTTTATTCGCAGATCGTTTTACTTTCTTTCTGCCGACAGCAGTGTCTGAAGTCAATTCCCGTTGTGAGAAGCGCAATTAACACTCGCTCTAACTCTCCCGCCCACAATCAAACACAGCAACTTTGTCTGACTCTAAACGGCTTATCAGCCGTCGATTTGCCCGCAACTGCTCTGTCTTCGCTACTCTGTTTCTTTTCAGTTTTCTTCACCCAATCTGAAAGCTACCTCATCTAATTGGACTTCCGCATCCGCATAAGCATTGCTAAGATTACGCGAGGATTTCTTTTAAATGCGAACATTACCTACACCAAATTGCAGCGCCCGGACAGGACCCCACGTCGTCTAAGCAGTTAGTATATTTTATTTATATTTATTTTCTTATATTGACAGTCACCCTGTGTATTATTCCTGTACTATCATTCTCCGAGTTACATTTGTATAATATATATATATATGTATAGAGCCTTTGCAGCTTCAGAAGCACGACCAATCTGACTCATTATCGTTCCAACTTTAAGTGCTTCATGGCTACTCTGGCGAACAGCAACAACGATATACTAACCAGAAGCCAGTTGTCAAGCCGTCTACGAAGAAGTGAAAGCAGCCAAAAAGCAAAGCAAAGCTGTGTATGCAGTTGGGTATCGGGGTGTGCAGATCCTTTGCCGTCATCATACAACTCAGTAAGAAGCCGTGGCCAACAGCATGCTGAGGTGTTGAGTCACTTTTAATTGAAGTCAATTGCGCCATTGGTGGCGGTCATCAGCGTTCATCTCCGCTCGGGGATTGAGGCGCCTTTAAAGATAATCGCTTTGACAACTTTTCTTTCAGTTGTGGCTTATTAGAGTTGAATATTTTTCTGTTTTTCTTAGACATTTCTGTAAATTAATAAATTTTTAACTTAATTATGTGAATTGTAACCATAAATAATTAAGGTATTAACTAGTTTTGTACTTTTTATTAAGCTTAAGCTCTAAAAGGTATTTAATGAAAATGAAGTAATGAAGAAAGATCATAAGCAAACTTTTTGGAAAATATAAATAAACTAGCTGTATCCGGCATGCCCACGTCCCTTTTTATACCTCAACATGTTGCTACACAGTGAGGAATACTTTAAAGGGAACAAAATATATATTGATGAATAAGAAGGTACATACGTTTCAAAAAAATTCAAAATTCACCGTTTCCTTTGAACACACCTCGTATATATACGTACATATACATATACCATAGATTGAAAAATCAATTGTGATTTTGCAAAAAAAGCCTCCGTTAGGACCTCCTGAAGGAATATTTGAATAACTGTGCAAATTTTCACGTCTTTCCGTGCTGTGGCTTCTGCTACGTTCTACGGGTACATAACGAAATAGCGGTTCTTTTTTATATACATATAAGATAAATGACCAACGATGAACTTTCAAAAAGAGAAGTAAATTTTATCTAACTTTATCGCCTGATTCATGAATCATGCTTTATCGTATGCTCAGATAATTAAACTCAAGAGTGCTAATATCAAACATCCTTGCTTTTGTGGATGTATATTCGACAATAATCTTTCTTAACAAGCTGGTGACCACCAATCTCAAAAAGCATTTTTAAAACTATTTTCTTTATGGATTCAATTTTAGATTAGTTGTTTTATCTTATGAACGTGGCCAGGAGGTCTATCATCAAATTCCGTCAAAGAAACACTCCCAACCCTCAAGCTTTTTTCGCCAAAAAGTAACACTTTTGATTTCCTTTGAATTCAAGATGAACAAATTGATTTTAAAACTACTCAATGAACGTTACACATAAACGAGTACGTGTAAGCTTTTCTCGAAGATGAAAGCTGCGCAAGTTTATTTAGTTTAACTAAACTGCAACGAAGCTTCTAACGGAATACCGTCAGTTGAGGACACTCACGATTATGTGGCCCAAAATGAATTTATGAAAAATCAAATTGTTTAAGCTTAACCTTGCTAGATTAAGTTAAAAAATTTATTGAACCTATTTTTAAAAACAGTTTAATATATAGGCGGCATGAATACTTCAACCAAAACATAATCGGTGATTTACGTATAATGATTTCGAAAGCAGGCAAAAAAATATGCAAACTTGCTCAAATCCGTACAGAGAATAAAGCTACTTAAGCTTTTCAAAAGTTTGTGCTAATCTTTGATCTTAGTAACTTTGGCTTTCATACTTATTATATTTTGCTGCTTGAATACGTCAACTACACATAAGCACTTCCGAGGAATAGGAATATTGAAAAAGATATCACAAAAGAACACTCATTCGCACAAGTTTATATCCTTAAGAACACTTTGAGCCAGAAGATGTGAAGACCAATTCAACTTTGCATAGCCCATTGTGCTCGGGATAATATCAACTTGTTTGGCTTACTTCAAACCACCATAAGGCGCTTCAATATCTGATTGTCACCTGGCAGGCGAATTGTTCGCTCACCTCATGCCACGCCCACTTCAACTGCAGTCATAGCCCGCATGAACAGTGCATTCACCCACACCCGCTATACAATTTTTACTTTTGTTTGTGCGCCGCCTGAGCAACTTGAACTAAATTAAGTTTTGATAATTCCTAATAATCTGCTGTGCAAAGTTTTCCCACAAAAATGTTCACAGTGCCCTTACTTTGTAAACTTCCTGGGCATTATACGCATACATCCGGCACAGGGATTAAGTGATTTGTATGTGCGTTGACGACAGAGACCAGTGCGTATGTGAAGCCACCCATTCCAGTGTCCATATCGCCGATGCTCAACTTGGTTTAAAGTGAACAATCGCCTTGTCAGTCTGTGGCTAAAGTTTGGCGCTAATGAATTGTTAAACAGTGTAAAGTAAATTGTAATATGTAGAGTCTCATTTAAGCGCTTATTGTTGTAAACTTTCATCTTTAATACAAAAGCGGCGGTTTGCCCAAAACCGCAAGTAGCAATGGACGCACGCAAATATGCAGTTATATAATATCAAAGTTCTAAATGTTTATATATAGTTTAATGTTCAAACATTACTATACTTTAATGATGTAATTTTTTACTAAAAAAATACTTAGAAAGAATATATACATATATACGATTTTAAGCACGAATTTATGGAATATACTTTATCGAGCTCTGCCAGTTAAATATTCACTAATTCTGTCATCGCCCGAAAACACTTGATGTATTCATGCTAACCCACGATATGCCGTTCTGAGAAAAGTGCGGTTAAATGATGATTATTATAATCACCTAAGGCTAAATTGTGTTTCTTGGTAGCCCGATTGAATTACTTGTTTTACAGTTTTAGAATTTCTCAAAAATCTTGAAGTTGATAAAAAATAACGAATACAATTTATGGAAAATACTGAAAATTTAAAACGTCCAAAAAGAAGAAATATTGCTATAAGAAACACTAATGGGTCGTGGTGTAAATTTAACTGAAGTAAAGCTCAAGCATTTCACGAATACCTGAAAGAGACTTTCAAGCCGCTTCCGCTCAACAGCCCTACAGATAAAGAGAAGAAGTTATGGAATTTCTAGATGTGTTCAGTTATTGAAAGATGCAATGTTATTCCTGAGAACCAATTTGGATTTAGAAAAAACGATGGAACTATCGAAATGTCACTGAGTTGTCAATGTTATAACTGATGCACTTGAAAAAACAAATACTGTTCAGGAGTATTTTTGGATATTCAACAGGCTTTTGATAGATTCTTGTCTTCTACATAATTTTTAATGCTGAAATTTGAGTGGTAGCAGCTAAAACAATGAGCGTTCAGATATTCATTCTATTGAAGCTGGGCTACCTCTAGGTAGTGTCTTGGACCTGTCCTTTATATCATATTCACCTCTGATTTCCAACCTCCGAAGAGGTTTTATTGGTCTTTGCAGATGGCATCTAGTGCTACATCACATATTCAACCTGAATTTGAGAGAAAAACATGGATGAACAAGTAAGGAAGGGCTAAGTTCGGATGTACCGAACATTTTATACTCTCGCAAAGTCAAGTGGTATACTCGTTTGAGATTTCTTTGTGGATTGACTGATATTTTCGGTAGAAGGTCAATATAGGCACTGGGGTCCACATATTAGTACTTAGGGGCTTAACAGTTTTGGTTCGATTTAGACAATTTTTGGCCGCAAGGTGGCATACTTTAATTGCATTATTCACGCAAAGTTTTACCCCGATATAATCATTGTTACCTGATTTGCATAGTGGAAGTGAAAGAACAGATGGGATTGAAAATGGTGTTACATGGGAAGTAAGCGTGGTTGTAGTCCGATTTCGCCCATTTTCGCATGAACATGAAAGAACGTTATGCACCGAATTTGGTTGAAATCGGTTGAGCAGATCTCAAGATATGCGTTTTCACCTAAAAGTGGGACGTGCCACGCCCACTGACTAATTTTGAACGCGGTTCCTATAAAGCTAATTTATACCATCTCAGAGATAAAATTTAATGTCTCTGTCTTTTAACAGTACCGTTATATAGGAAGTGGGCGGAGTTGCCTCCCGATTTCAACTATTTTCATACCGTCAGTAGAAGTGCTAAAAACATTTGCTTCTAGTGAATTTTGTTATAAGCCTTAGCGGTTTAGGAGATATGCACATTAAACTATTAGAGGCGGGACCACGCCCACTTTTTAAAAAGTTTTAACTGACAGATGCCTCCCTAATGTGATCCTGTGTACCAAATAACAGTCTTGTATCTTATTGCGGAGCTTAGTTATGGCAAGTTATTTGTTTTTTATAAATGGCGTTTTGTGGGCGTGGCAGTGGTCCGATTACGCCCATCTGCAATACCAACCGTCTCACGGTACCAAGAAACATGTCTACCAAGTTTCATAAAGATATCTCAATTTTTACGCAAGTTAGAGCTTGCACGGACGGACGGACGGACGGACAGACAGTCACCCGGATTTCAACTCGTCTCTTCATCCTGATCATTTATTATATATAACCCTATATCTAACTCGATTAGTTTTAGGTGATACAAACAACCGTTAGGTGAACAAAACTATTATACTCTGTAGCAACAGGTTGCGAGAGGATAAAAATGGAATGTTATAGTGTATACTGACAAATCTGCTCGCGTAACATTTACTACCAGAAGAAAAGATTGCCCTCGTGTACGAGTATAGTTGCATATAAGTGGTAGCAACTTAAAGTAGCAGCAACTTAAAATTAAGACAAACAGAATGTATTGGTTTCTTGGTGCGAAGTCTGAACTAAGTCTTAAGAATAAAATTCGTTTATACAAAGTGATTTTTAAACCAGTGTGAACATATGGTATACAGCTGTGGGTCACGACTTCAAATCAAATATAGAAACTTTTCAACGCTACCAGTCAAAGTCACTAAGAATGATTTTGAATGCGCCATGGTTGTAACAAATGAAAATATACATAAAAATCTTCAAATTGAGATCCTGGTGCTCAGTATTGCTTCAATCCATCTGCGCACCGGCATCGCCACACCCCTTTTCTCCAGGGCTTTGACACGCTCTCATGTGACGTATTGTCAAAGGCACCTTCGATGTCAAGGAAGGCGCATAACAGCACCTCACCCCGTCAACGAACTTCGGATCTCTGAGGTCAGCTGATACAGAGCAGTATTGGTTGATCTGCCTGCTCTGTAAGCATGCTGCGTCGCTTGTAGCGGTGCAGCTTTCAGCACCTTCGATCTTATTTCGTGATCTATGATCTTTCCATGCTTTTCAGTAGGAAGGAGTTAGACTTATTGGTCTAAAGGATTTCGCCAACGAATAGTCTTTCCTTCCTACCTTGGGTATGAAGATCACCTTTGCAGTGCGCCAAGGTTCTGGGATAACGCCAGCGCCAGGCTATCCCTCATCAGCCGAACATCATCCGCACCCGAGACTTATATTTTCGAAGGAGGCCACTGCCCACTTAATGAGTCCGCAGTGAAGAGCTGTTTTGCGGCTGTCCAATCTAAGCGAGTTGGCTTTCGTTCGACCCTGGGTCGAATTAGGTCTTCTCGAATCGTTTCCGGAAATGCGCACGTAGAAGGGCCGTGGCTCTTTCCTCCGCGCTGGACGTATAGGTCCCATCCGGTCTTTAATTGCTAGAACTGTGTCGGTCTTGCCCTAGCCAGAGCCTTATGCAGCCTTGCAGCCTCTGGCGTTGAGGAGACGCTTTCACAGAAATTTCTGAAGCTCTTCTGCTTTGCTGACCTAATCTCCTTTTGTAAGCAGTTAGGCCGCACCTATAGTTCTCCCAGTCCCCGGTACGCTTAGCCCTGTTAATAGCTTGCGTACCGTTTTCCTTAGGTCTGAGAGCCTCTTGACCACCAGGGACAACTGCGGTTCTTGGTGGTCGTCTTCAGGGGCAGCTACTGTTGTATGCTTCCATAATGGACTGATTTAGCGCAGACAATCTGCTCTCCAGTCCGAAAGGCACTGCTGGCACTGCTGTCCAGCTGCCCCTCATCTTGAGATTTATTTCATGCGTATCTCTAAAGGTGGCCCAGTCCGAGTTTTGGGGATACGCCTGGGACTGAGTTGCTTAACCTCTACCCTAGTGCGAATCTTATGATGCGGTTATCCGACATGGAGGGTTCCGATGACACTCTCCATTGCCCGATCAGCCCTGTCATGAGTTCGTTACAAGAGTGATGTCAAGCACCTCCTTCTTACACTGGTTATAAAGGTGGGTTCGCACCCACGTTTACAATGCTTAAATTCCTACTTACTATAAATTCAAGTAAGGACTCACCCCGTGTATTGCAGTCTGTGCTGCCCCATTCAGTATGATGGGCGTTGGCGTCACATCCCATGACGAGGGCAGGTTGTTCCTCCTGCAGTAATCCACGAGGTTCCCGACGGCCTCTGGGGTGCTGTCAGCGTGTTTCCAGGAAAGTAGGCAGCTGCCAGGACGAAGTCCGCTCCATCGTTACTTTTGCCTGCACAGCGACCAGGTCTGTGTTAGGAACTCTGAAATACAAAAGTAATCAATATCGTTCCTAATTACAAAATACAGGTTCTGGGTCTCTCACTTGAGAGATCCCAGATTACCTTGCTATTCACCTTTTTGAGGCCTCTGACCTCTCCTTTGTAGATCCATGGCTCCTGGATCAGTACAATGCCCAGACCATCCGCTGTAAACTGCTCGCGATGACGGCCGGGGCCGACGCCACGTGATGCAGTTTACCTGGGCAATTTCGATTTGTGGACCCCTAGAGGATCGGTTCCATGAGGAGCTCCTCACTTCACCGTCCTCCGCGTTACCACCCGCTAGGTCCTGAGTCCCTCGAGAAGCTCTTGCGTGGAGGGTAGCGCCCCCTTGTTCGCCAGCCTTCCCGTAGGGACCTTCACCCTGGTTCCAGCAGTTGCCGCCTGCTCCGCCGTGCTGGTGCCGGGATGAGCGCAACCTCATCTACCAGCAACTTCTCCAGCGCTTCATTTTCGGTGGCCGTCTTAGGCTTAAATGGCCTCAGGACCACCGAACTGAATCTGTAATTGTCGGAAGCTCACTCTCTGACGAATTTATACGATTCGTCATCGATGCAGAGATTAAGCCCCACCCTGAATCCTCTATCTTGCTGGTGACTACTCTCCACCCGATATGCTAAGGCCCTCGTTCTGGTTTGAATGAGCCCGAGAGCAAACTCATATGGCTTACCTGCGCACCTGGGGAGGAACACCGTCATGCTATGCAGGGGCGGTATGTCTTCCCCTTTTTGCGCAGATAACGGGGCCCTTCCAGCCTTCCAGCTTGGGAGCGATCTCCTTAGCCAGTCGGCAGACCTCTCATCCTTGCAGTCCACCTGCAACATGCCTCCTTTGAAAATACTCCATGGAATGAGGCTTATATCCAGATCCCTGAATATCTCTTCCATGAGTAGATCTTGGAGCACAGTGAGCTCCTCCGACCCCAGTGTCTCCGCCGGGTAGTTTAGAGGCAGCACAGCCATACGAATTCCTTTAAGAGCATCTGCATATCTGCGCTGTCCCTCCACCATTCGGGGGGTTGGGGCGGAGTGGTTGCCTCCGGTCCCCTGTGTGCATTTCTGCCGCTGGTGTTGGTTGCTCCTGTGGCGTTAGCTGCCCACTCTTGCGTTTTGCGGCTTGGGTGGTCGAAGGCGCTGCCCTTTCGCAACCCCGCCTTGCGGCCTGAGTTGCGTTAACCGGGCGTTGGCTTCGATTTCCGCTGCTGTTTTTGCTGCTAGCCGCGGTATTGCCACCCTTCCGCTTCTCCGAGGCAGGGAGGCATTGTTTCCTCTCACCCTGTTACGCGCCAACTTTTCGGCTTCCTCCGGAGTCTCCCCCTCCGGAGGTGCCTGAGGTACCATTGAGGCTGGCCCCGCTCATGCGTCTCCTCCTGGGATCGTCCTGTCCGCCTGGACTCCCATTTGGTGGTAGAGGGGGTAGTCTGCCTCCCTCTTCCGCTTCCGTTTGCGAACCCCGGTAGATGCCCGTTCCGAGTCGCTCGAGTCCGAGCAGGTGATCCTGCACGGGAAGCCTCTTTGGGGTTCGCTTTTCAGCGCCAGCCGCAGTCAATGCACCTGCTGAGCGGCGCTGCACGAGGGCATGTCGTCGTCGTCACCCTTGCATGCTCCTCGAACAGCGCTCGCTCTTCTGGCGAAAGGGCGTCCAGGAAGCTAAACTTCTGTTTAGCCCCTGAACTCCTTACCTGCACCGGCGCTGGTTTTGTTGGCCTTGTCCTTGTCCGTTTGCTGATGTTGTTGCCTTTTGTGTCCATTTTGTGTTGTGTTGTTTTTGTTTTTTTGTGGTCAATCTTTTCCTTACGACCTTAGGCCTCGACAGGCAAGCCGTCCGGTCAACGTTTTGTGAGGGAACGCGAAAGTCCACCGCGCCAGAGCCCCATGACGCGGTAAGGCCACCGTTACTTCCCAATGCGGCCCGGTGTTGGGAAGGCTCCGTTAGAATACAGCCGAATTTACCTCCTGGCTGCAAATCATCCAATGGGCACGGGAGTCGCATAACACCCTGGATTAGGAGGTGGCAGCTCTTGGTTGTCGCACGCATGCGGCTTCGGACAACCCGCGTGAGAGGTGCTAGGCAGCACTTCTCACATTGGTTGGGAGATGCCGAGAATGCCTTGCGACCTAAGCCCCTGCACCACGTCAAGGTGCCTGCCATTCGCAGGAGGAAAAACTATAAACATACTAATCACAGTAATGCTCTTGCAGTTTGTTTATTAGATGATATTTAAGAAACTCCACTACTCAAAAGTTATCAAATTCTAGATGTGCCCTTTAGAAATTAGGAATGTACACCAGTTAAGATATATGTTTCTATATATTGAAAAATCGATTTCAATGAAATAATGAATGATATTTCTTGTTATAAATAATTACGTCCTCAATTTTGTTGAATGTTATTAAGACAGATTGCAAATAAATAAATACCATAAAAATAAAATGATGATTATGACTAATCGGTAAAGCCGGTCGTTGTAAAGAGTAGTGAATAGAAAGCTTACAACTCAGAGTATAGTTGATCAAAATTAGGCCAAAGCGAATTCTGAATGTATAAGAAACTTTTGCCCTTAGAGACGTACGATAAAGTCTGCTAGTGTATTTTCTACATGAACAAGAAAAACGTTAAATTCGGCTGTACCGGAGCTGCATTCTAATAGCAACTATATGAATTAAACGGCCAACTGTTTGCTAGTTCATTCTAGCCGGTTTGATTAATGTAAACAACCTTCAAGTTGAATAAAGTGGGCTGTGCCACGCCCACTGACTAATTTTGAACGCGGTTCCTATAAAGCTAATTTATACCATCTCAGAGATAAAATTTAATGTCTCTGTCTTTTAACAGTACCGTTATATAGGAAGTGGGCGGAGTTGCCTCCCGATTTCAACTATTTTCATACCGTCAGTAGAAGTGCTAAAAACATTTGCTTCTAGTGAATTTTGTTATTATAGCCTTAGCGGTTTAGGAGATATGCACATTAAACCTATTAGAGGCGGGACCACGCCCACTTTTTAAAAAAAAGTTTTAACTGCAGATGCCCCTCCCTAATGTGATCCTGTGTACCAAATAACAGTCTTGTATCTTATTGCGGAGCTTAGTTATGGCAAGTTATTTGTTTTTTATAAATGGCGTTTTGTGGGCGTGGCAGTGGTCCGATTACGCCCATCTGCAATACCAACCGTCTCACGGTACCAAGAAACATGTCTACCAAGTTTCATAAAGATATCTCAATTTTTACGCAAGTTAGAGCTTGCACGGACGGACGGACGGACGGACAGACAGTCACCCGATTCAACTCGTCTCTTCATCCTGATCATTTATATATATAACCCTATATCTAACTCGATTAGTTTTAGGTGATACAAACAACCGTTAGGTGAACAAAACTATTATACTCTGTAGCAACAGGTTGCGAGAGTATAAAAATGGAATGTTATAGTGTATACTGACAAATCTGCTCGCGTAACATTTACTACCAGAAGAAAAGATTGCCCTCGTGTACGAGTATAGTTGCATATAAGTGGTAGCAACTTAAAGTAGCAGCAACTTAAAATTAAGACAAACAGAATGTATTGGTTTCTTGGTGCGAAGTCTGAACTAAGTCTTAAGAATAAAATCGTTTATACAAGTGATTTTAAACCAGTGTGAACATATGGTATACAGCTGTGGGTCACGACTTCTAAATCAAATATAGAAATTTTTCAACGCTACCAGTCAAAGTCACTAAGAATGATTTTGAATGCGCCATGGTTTGTAACAAATGAAAATATACATAAAAATCTTCAAATTGAGATCCTGGTGCTCAGTATTGCTTCAATCCATCTGCGCACCGGCATCGCCACCCCCTTTTCTCCAGGGCCTTTGACACGCTCTCATGTGACGTATTGTCAAAGGCACCTTCGATGTCAAGGAAGGCGCATAACAGCACCTCACCCCGTCCAACGAACTTCGGATCTCTGAGGTCAGCTGATACAGAGCAGTATTGGTTGATCTGCCTGCTCTGTAAGCATGCTGCGTCGCTTGTAGCGGTGCAGCTTTCAGCACCTTCGATCTTATTTCGTGATCTATGATCTTTCCATGCTTTTCAGTAGGAAGGAAGTTAGACTTATTGGTCAAAAGGATTTCGCCAACGAATAGTCTTTCCTTCCTACCTTGGGTATGAAGATCACCTTGCAGTGCGCCAAGGTTCTGGGATATACGCCAGCGCCAGGCTATCCCTCATCAGCCGAACATCATCCGCACCCGGAGACTTATATTTTTCGAAGGAGGCCACCCCACTTAATGGAGTCCGCAGTGAAGAGCTGTTTTGCGGCTGTCAATCTAAGCGAGTTGGCTTTCGTTCGACCCTGGGTCGAATTAGGTCTTCTCGAATCGTTTCCGGAAATGCGCACGTAGAAGGGCCGTGGCTCTTTCCTCCGCGCTGGACGTATAGGTCCCATCCGGTCTTTTAATTGCTAGAACTGTGTCGGTCTTGCCCCAGCCAGAGCCTTATGCAGCCTTGCAGCCTCTGGCGTTGAGGAGACGCTTTCACAGAAATTTCTGAAGCTCTTCTGCTTTGCTGACCTAATCTCCTTTTTGTAAGCAGTTAGGCCGCACCTATAGTTCTCCCAGTCCCCGGTACGCTTAGCCCTGTTAAATAGCTTGCGTACCGTTTTCCTAGGTCTGAGAGCCTCCTTGACCACCAGGGACAACTGCGGTTCTTGGTGGTCGTCTTCAGGGGGCAGCTACTGTTGTATGCTTCCATAATGGACTGATTTAGCGCAGACAATCTGCTCTCCAGTCCGAAAGGCACTGCTGGCACTGCTGTCCAGCTGCCCCCTCATCTTGAGATTATATTTCATGCGTATCTCTAAGGTGGCCCAGTCCGAGTTTTTGGGATACGCCTGGGACTGAGTTGCTTAACCTCTACCCCTAGTGCGAATCTTATGATGCGGTTATCCGACATGGAGGGTTCCGATGACACTCTCCATTGCCCGATCAGCCCTGTCATGAGTTCGTTACCAAGAGTGATGTCAAGCACCTCCCTTCTTACACTGGTTATAAAGGTGGGTTCGCACCCACGTTTACAATGCTTAAATTCTACTTACTATAAATTCAAGTAAGGACTCACCCCGTGTATTGCAGTCTGTGCTGCCCATTCAGTATGATGGGCGTTGGCGTCACATCCCATGACGAGGGCAGGTGTTCCTCCTGCAGTAATCCACGAGGTTCCCGACGGCCTCTGGGGGTGCTGTCAGCGTGTTTCCAGGAAAGTAGGCAGCTGCCAGGACGAAGTCCGCTCCATCGTTACTTTTTGCCTGCACAGCGACCAGGTCTTGTGTTAGGAACTCTGAAATACAAAAGTAATCAATATCGTTCCTAATTACAAAATACAGGTTCTGGGTCTCTCACTTGAGAGATCCCAGATTACCTTGCTATTCACCATTTTGAGGCCTCTGACCTCTCCTTTGTAGATCCATGGCTCCTGGATCAGTACAATGCCCAGACCATCCGCTGTAAACCTGCTCGCGATGACGGCCGGGGCCGACGCCACGTGATGCAGGTTTACCTGGGCAATTTCGATTTGTGGACCCGCTAGAGGATCGGTTCCATGAGGAGCTCCTCATCTTCACCGTCCTCCGCGTTACCACCCGCTAGGTCCCTGAGTCCCTCGAGAAGCTCTTGCGTGGAGGTAGCGCCCCCCTTGTTCGCCAGCCTTCTCCGTAGGGACTTCACCTGGTTCCAGCAGTTGCCGCCTGCTCCGCCGTGCTGGTGCCGGGATGAGTCGCAACCTCATCTACCAGCAACTTCCCAGCGCTTCATTTTCGGTGGCCGTCTTAGGCTTAAATGGCCTCAGGACCACCGAACTGAATCTGTAATTCAGTCGGAAGCTCACTCTTCTGACGAATTTATACGATTCGTCATCGATGCAGAGATTAAGCCTCCACCTGAATCCTCTATCTTGCTGGTGACTACTCTCCAGCCCGATATGCTAAGGCCCTCGTTCTGGTTTTGAATGAGCCCGAGAGCAAACTCATATGGCTTACCTGCGCACCTGGGGAGGAACACCGTCATGCTATGCATGGGCGGTATGTCTTCCCCTTTTGCGCAGATAACGGGGCCCTTCCAGCCTTCCAGCTTGGGAGCGATTCTCCTTAGCCAGTCGCAGACCTCTCATCCTTGCAGTCCACCTGCAACATGCCTCCTTTGAAATATACTCCATGAATGAGGCTTTATATCCAGATCCCTGAATATCTCTTCCATGAGTAGATCTTGGAGCACAGTGAGCTCCTCCGACCCCAGTGTCTCCGCCGGGTAGTTTAGAGCAGCACAGCCATACGAATTCCTTTAAGAGCATCTGCATATCTGCGCTGTCCTCCACCATTCGGGGGGGTTTGGGGCGGAGTGGTTGCCTCCGGTCCCCTGTGTGCATTTCTGCCGCTTGGTGTTTGGTTGCTCCTGTGGCGTTAGCTGCCCACTCTTGCGTTTTGCGGCTTGGGTGGTCGAAGGCGCTGCCCTTTCGCAACCCCGCCTTGCGGCCTGAGTTGCGTTAACCGGGCGTTGGCTTCGATTTCCGCTGCTGTTTTTGCTGCTAGCCGCGGTATTGCCACCCTTCCGCTTCTCCGAGGCAGGGGAGGCATTGTTTCCTCTCACCCTGTTACGCGCCAACTTTTCGGCTTCCTCCGGAGTCTTCCCCTCCTGGAGGTGCCTGAGGTACCATTTGAGGCTGGCCCCGCTCATGCGTCTCCTCCTGGGATCGTCCGTCCGCCTGGACTCCCATTTGGTGGTAGAGGGGTAGTCTGCCTCCCTCTTCCGCTTCCGTTTGCGAACCCCCCCGGTAGATGCCCGTTCCGAGTCGCTCGAGTCCGAGCAGGTGATCCTGCACGGGGAAGCCTCTTTGGGGTTCGCTTTTTCAGCGCCAGCCGCAGTCAATTGCACCTGCTGAGCGGCGCTGCACGAGGGCATGTCGTCGTCGTCATCCCTTGCATGCTCCTCGAACAGCGCTCGCTCTTCTGGCGAAAGGCGTCCAGGAAGCTAAACTTCTGTTTAGCCTGAAACTCCCTTACTGCACCGGCGCTGGTTTTGTTGGCCTTGTCCTTGTCCGTTTGCTGATGTTGTTGCCTTTTGTGTCCATTTTGTGTTGTTGTTTGTTTTTTTGTTTTTGTGGTCCATCTTTTCCTTACGACCTTAGGCTCGACATGGCAAGCCGTCCGGTCAACGTTTTGTGAGGGGAACGCGAAAGTCCACCGCGCCAGAGCCCCATGACGCGGTAAGGCCACCGTTACTTCCCAATGCGGCCCGGTGTTGGGAAGGCTCCGTTAGAATACAGCCGAATTTACCTCCTGGCTGCAAATCATCCAATGGGCACGGAGTCGCATAACACCCTGGATTAGGAGGTGGCAGCTCTGGTTGTCGCACGCAGCGGCTTCGGACAACCCGCGTGAGAGGTGCTAGGCAGCACTTCTCACATTGGTTGGGAGATGCCGAGAATGCCTTGCGACCTAAGCCCCTGCACCACGTCAAGGTGCCTGCCATTCGCAGGAGGAAAAACTATAAACATACTAATCACAGTAATGCTCTTGCAGTTTGTTTATTAGATGATATTTAAGAAACTCCACTACTCAAAAGTTATCAAATTCTAGATGTGCCCTTTAGAAATTAGGAATGTACACCAGTTAAGATATATGTTTCTATATATTGAAAAATCGATTTCAATGAAATAATGAATGATATTTCTTGTTATAATAAATTACGTCCTCAATTTTGTTGAATGTTATTAAGACAGATTGCAAATAAAATAAATACCAAAAAAAATAAAATGATGATTATGACTAATCGGTAAAGCCGGTCGTTGTAAGAGTAGTGAATAGAAAGCTTACAACTCAGAGTATAGTTGATCAAAATTAGGCCAAGCGAATTCTGAATGTATAAGAAACTTTTCGCCCTTAGAGACGTACGAATAAGTCTGCTAGTGTATTTTTCTACATGAACAAGAAAAAACGTTAAATTCGGCTGTACCGGAGCTGCATTCTAATAGCAACTATATGAATGTAAACGGCCAACTGTTTGCTAGTTCATTCTAGCCGGTTTGATTAATGTAAACAACCTTCAAGTTGAATAAAGGTTACTTAATAAAGAATACAAATTTTGTAAAAATCTTTTTCATGATTTCATCAGCTACATGTTAAATGGTTGCCGATTTGAACAATATGTTCTGAGATTGTGGCATTGTGTTGGACAATAATCTATGCCAAATTTTTTGAAGATATATTGTCAAATAAAAAAATTTACCATACTTGTGTAAGAATTTCGAATACTTAGAATTTCCAAATTTCATAAATTTTTGCAATTTTCCCTCAATTGTCTACAACAAGCCCGAATAAACCACAATTTGTATTTGATTCGTCAACGCACCGTAATTGCGTACTCTTCACTGCCAGTTGTGGCATCGATTTGCTGTTTTAGAAACGGACATTCTCCCGTGTCATGCAAATTATTTCATTTTGCTTCATTCTGTGCAATTCCTCTTTCAAATCCAAAAATAGTTGCAAATTGTCTGCATATTTGCCATAGAAGAGATTACTCATATACAGTGTGTTATGGGTCATCGATTAACAGTTGCAAATTGTTTTTCTTTTTGTATTGCCGGAATATGCCACTAAAAGGTATGACGTTTGACCTTAAAGCTTTGGAACCACCCTATACATAACAGTAAACTACTATTTCCAAATTCGAAAAAAAAAGAAATTATGGTATTTCGAGCGTCTTCTCACATACATACACACATATGTATAGTTCTTTCATGAACAAGCATTCAATTTTACAGTTATATGCCTTTTCCAGCTTTCGAATTCTAACTCCCACGCCCGCAGCATTTGCTTGCATCCAATTGCATTTTCGAACACATTTATACTTAAGTAAGTACATATGCGTATGTATAACTGTGTGTAAATCAAGCTGTAAATTCCCAAAATTCAAGGCTATAAAATCTAAGTGAGCAACAATTCTAAAAGCTTAATCGATTTCGGTATTCATATTTGCTCATTCACGCATTTTTCAATTGTTCCAACTGCTCTTCTGTTACTAGCAACCGGCCGCCGGTCATTTGGGAAATACAATGGAATTGCAAACGAACTGGCAACATTTACTCTTTACTTTTTATTTTTACTTTACAGCACGAGTATTTCCTTAGGCCCTTTCAATTGTGCTTTTTTCTGCGTTGCTCACTTCCTTTCGGGCTGTTGCATTCTGCATATCCACCCTTTGTGGCCATGCTTCGAAATATTTGGCAGTTAAAAATCCTTCTGTGTAAACTTGTATTTATTTAGTTTGTACTTTTGTATGTTTGGAATTTTAATAATTTATAGGTAAAAACCTTTTATGAAAAATTAATGATGAAGATTAATTCAAATATGGTACTGATTACTAGGGATCTATTTAATCGCAACCCCAGAGGGGTCGAAAAATTAATCGTATACGCGAGTATTTATTACTAAAATATTAGTAATGCTGTGGTAGCCCGCCCAGAATAATGAATACTAAAATTTTTAGGCTTATATTCGGACGATTGCCCGAAAGACTATGGAATTGACATTTTAGTTGGTCCTATCCTGGTGGTGGCGTTTGCTCGCATACCAACGAGGGAGATGTGGATGGGGAGAAGTCGCTGTAGAAGAGACACAGTGAGCTTTTTCACGGTTGAATCGAAGCTAGGACGGAAGGTTGGGGGTAGAGTTTTCTGTAAAGAGCTCTCCGTCAATCTTAGCTTTAGGCTACGGGGGACCACTGTAATGTTTTTCAGACAGAAGCGGCTGCTATCAAGGTGGCGGTAAACATACTGCTACGGAGTGCAGCCTCTTTCAGGGAGGTGAACATTCAATCCGACAGCAGAGCGGCAATACCAACGCTCAACGCTATTCAAGGAGTGTCTGTCCTCACTAGAAATAGCATTAAGCTACTTCATCATCAGGGCCGTTTGGGGGCCTGGTCACAGCGGTAGATCTCGCGTGCGTTTAGCAGCCTCTATTCGACGACCAGGTCTTGTCGGACGCTAGTTGTCAAAGTTGTATGGAGAAGGGTGAGGTGTTAACATACAAGCCCTGTCTCCTTCATTGGCCAGCCTTTGCCGTACTGAGACTGAAACATTTCGGTAATCTTACCTTCGGCGAACCAGAAGCCGAACCTATTATTAGCTTTCTCAATAATTGTGTGATAGTTTCAAAGCGCTTTGTCGATCTGTAAGGGTCTTATGATCCAGTATTTAGGAGTTTTAGGTAATACGGAGTTTAAGTAATACGGAATGGCGTTCTAAGCGGTCCAAGTGAGATCCCTCTTGGCATCAACCTGTTAACCTAACCTAACCTAGTCCTATTAATAAAACTGCGTGATTAAGAGACACACCTAGGATAGTATATACGCTCAAAAATAACATAATACAATTTTAAATGTATATTTCAAATATTTTAGAGCCTTTTATAGTCAATGTAGGCAATCAATTTATCTTTAAACACGCTTTTTTGAAAGAGAATTTTTAGAATTTTCAACAGTAATTACTCGGATGATGCGATCACAATCATTCTTTTTCCGTATGTTCGGTAGATATGCAGTTCTTCAGTTTTTTGATCTAATCAGAAGTCGAATTTCGGCACGCCAAAAATTATATAAATTTAATAAAAATCAACTTTTTTTAACTTCCCCCTTGTTCTCAATTTCTGATTTTTTCAACGGTAGGTCGTTGTACAGACATTATCTTCTAGTGAGAATATTTTTTTGGTTTCATCCACGCAGTGACCGGTATCACTGCAGTAGTGGATGACCTTCCTTTTAGCGCCTCCGAAAATCGCGTGAAACTCAAAAAATATTTAATTTTTTTCTTTAAAGATATTAATGTGTATTGCAAAAATATATATAAATATAATTTTAGAACAATTGATATAATCGTTTCCTTTTGTAAAATTCCCATAAATCTCCTTTGTTTAAACTGTCACACTAAGTGGGTCCCGTAAACCTCAAACAGCCAAAGTGATTTAGGCACAACCGATTAAGCTTCCAACATGCTTCGTCTAAGATATAGCATTTAAATACCGGGCTAGTGGATTGTATCGACGAATAGATCTGACGTTGAACGACGAAGTCGGAATATCTTCGCTTTTGGAAGAGGCAGTTCGATTAAAGCCGAGGAGTTTAAGCTTATATTACAAGTACACGTAACGATAAAAAAAATTACAACTAACCGGTGATAGGTAGAAAACATGTAAAGCGCTCACCAATCTACCTATATACGTCATAATCCATCTTTCGTATACCAACTGGTTTTAATCTACTGTTTGTAGTCTTCTATATGAATGGCATACCCGAACAAGAATCACCAGATTATCAAAAGAACTTAATTTCGTATTTCACCGCAGTGAACTGGAGACAGAGTTGGATTTTGAAGAACAGTGAAAGAATCCACTAACACGTAAAACATATCTAGCTATAAATCATAAATCGGTCTCAGTCAAACCGTTAGCAATAGCACAAGGGAGCGCAAAGCGAGCATCATGCTAACTAACTACGGTCGATTCTGCAATTGTCAACACAGCTCCGCTCCATTTGACCGAACTCGTCTACTACCAGAGGTTTTGTAGGCACAATGTGTGTAAATTCATGGATTTCTATCACTTTGACTAGAGTATTCAACGCAGTCGTGAGTCAATATGGAAAAACTATAAAAATAGTAGGAAAAGTACACTACAACAACGAAGCGTACACAAGACGACTCATGTCAAAAAGCTTTACTAAGCGTCCTTTTTGAAGCTTTCAAATTCACTTCATACAGTAAACACAAAAATATTTGAATAATTTATGAATTTTATTTTCTTATTTATATTATTCACGACTTCTTTAGTTTAGTAATGATTTCACTGAAACATCGATATCATTTGGGGTACTAATATAGTATTCAGTACTTAGTACGTAGATTATTTATTTTTCAATTTATACAGATACATATCGATTTGTTGAATGTATGTATGTATGTATGTACGTGTGTGTGTGAATGTTTATTTGTAGAAACAGCTATTGGCTTAAAGGACTTTAGTTGTTTGCCTATTTTTTGTTGGGAAATTTGTGAGAACATTGCAGCTACTAAGAGATATCGGTGTAGACAGTTCGTACTTTCAATGCATGTAAAAAGGTATGTGTGCAGTCGATACACATATATGTATATGTGTGTGTGTGTCTGTATATTGCTGCATAATCTCAATGCATTTGTATGCATTTATGTATGTATATATGTATGTATGTATGTATATAAAACTTCATTGTATTACAATTCTTTAAAACAATTACAATATTTCATTTACTTAATATTTCGTTAATTAGCGCTACTAACTACACACACTTGACGTTTGCTATTACAATAGATAATTCATTTATTAGTACAATATATGTTATTATTATTATTTATTTATTCAATATTGTGTTTATTTCTTTCATTCTTTAAATTCATTTCATGGCCACGCTCGTGGGAATGTGCGACTTAGCCGCTTTGTGACGACGTTCTTTTTGGTTTGTTTAACTTTTGTAAGCAATTCAATCTATTGCATTCCCAATGTATGTATGAATATGCTACTTTTTTCTTTTTTTTTAGTATGTATGTATGTATATATGTATGTTTGCTTAATTTTTATACTAAAAAGCTGTTGTTGCCGGTAGGTCTTATTTTTCATTATAAAATCAGTATTTAAAAAGTTGTTGCAATATTGTTTTTATGTTTTGGTTTCTGGCATCGTTCGTAACCGCGCCACTGATTTATTTTCAAATAATTACTTTTGAGTGGACTTTCCGCAAGGAAATTGCTTTTCGCAGCGATAAGCGAGGTGTGTCAATTTTGAATAATAAAAGTGATTTAAAATTAAATTGAGTTTCTATCCGAATAGTTTAAAAACAGCTTCAGATTTTGCTGGCGGAAAGTTTGTGCTTTGAACCGCATTTATGTAAAGTTTTAAAATGAAAATGTAATTCTTGCAGAGCAAAGAAGTACATAATTCCAAAATTCTTGTTTTACAAAATTGTCTGCCATTGATAACCAGAATCTTAAAACGTATTTTATAATACAAATCTTGCCAATACATACAAAATAATATATAAATGTACTTAATAGAGCATACACTTTTATATGGGAGTACTCGTATATGTAAATATATGTTGTGTAGAACTTCTTTCCAATGCCAAAAGTTATAACAGCTATTACAGCGTTATTAAAATACTAAATATTTAATTTTCTTTTGGGCACACATATTCGTAAATTTTTGTTTCGACTTTTTTATAGCAACAAATTTATTTAACAAGAATAAACTGTGGCCAACTAAACCTAAAATATTTTTTACAGTTTTGAGCAAATATTTGTGGAAACATTTGGTTATCCATGCTACTAGAAAATATGAAGCTTATAAATTATTGTTAAAATACACATAGGTTTCACTATACAGTAGAGTGTACAGGAACAAAGCTTTATTTTTTCGTTCATCTGTTTACTGGATATCCAAACGTAAAACACATTCTTACTAAACAAATATTTATAATTTATCCAAATACTATGAAGAATACATAATTATCAACCTTAAATCAAACACTTATGTAATTCCACACTTAAATAACAAAAATATGTATGTCGCTTTTTTACTTGAAAAGTAGAATAACACAAAAACACTACAAGTGGAAAAAATCTTGTCTTAAACTCTTTTAGAAAGTATACTAATTATAATGATCCATCAAGAAGAGGCTCAACCGATTATTATGTGTTAATGGCAGGTATGAAAAGTTGTTACGTTCACAACTAGCAATTTGTAAGTTCATTTGTTTCATAGTAAGTTCATTTGTATAAAAAGTATGTGAAAATTAATAATATTTAAATTTATATTTTTAAAGCATAATTGAATCTCGTTATTTGAAAGATCACTTTAAAAAAAAATGTCAAACTAGAAGTAAATATTCCGCAGCTAATAAAGTTTTCTGTCAGATAATTTTAATATAATAAAATCAAAGTAATAAAAATTTTAAAATAATAAATATTAATTGTCAACATATTACCAAAGTAGAATTACTTATAAATTGTCCAAAACCTACCTACTACAAACTTTTGAGGTTTTCAACAGCACCAAACAAGCTAGCCAAAACCTGAGCCTTTAGATCACTAACATTGCTAATTTAGGTTAATATTTTTAGGAAAGTAAAAACATATATTTTATGTGATTACACGTAACTATTGAATAGACCATATGTTTCAGTTCCAAACACACAATGGCAAGTAATGAATATTTTTAAGTTCAACTGTTCGACAATAAACGCTTTCTAAACCAATTAAAAAATGAAATGTGCATCGGATTTTGAGATTTCACCATTCGCAGGAGTTTGTGCTAATTATTTATTATTGCACAATATGCTTAAAAATTTATTCGCCTGTTAATAGTTTCGAAAATGGCGAATGCGATGGCAAACAAAAAAACAAATTAGAAACTACAGGAATGTGTGTATATTGCGTATGCAATGCGTTGTGACATAAAAATCAAATATTTATTTTACAATTTTGAAGCATACATTTTGATTAGCGCCAACTTTCCAGCCACATATGTATATGTAATATAAATACTTTTTTCGGTTCTCTTATGCCTGTGTATATGTATGTGTATATTCAAATGCAGCTTGTTTCTATCGGTTTAATTCTTTAATTTTCTCCATTTCTCGCTTAATCCTTCAACAGGTATACAATTATTATTTTTTTTTTTACAATTAAAGCTTATATTGTTGCTGTGGCATATATCAACAACATCAATATGTACTACCTTTGATATCAACATAAATAAATATATTTAAAAGCCGTTAAAAAAAAGGATTCTTTTATAAAATTGCAAACCTTGTAGCTCATATAAAAAATAAACTTGAATATGTTTGTATTTTTATGCATATATGCATGCATGTAATAGCTCTAAAATAAAATTCCATAAAATTATAAAAAGTTAAAAAGTAGTAAATACATTTAAAATGCATATTTTCTCATTTTGCGCGATGACAGTTTCGATTTTCGTTATTTTCCTACACGACTCCTAACCTCAATTATTCAAAATTTGCGAATGTCTTAGTTCAGTATCAGCAGTAGTAACAATTTAGCATTCAATATCATTCGATTAACTTTTCAACTAGGGATGTTAAACATCCTTTTTGCACAATTATTACTCTTTCAACTTACTAAATACTAAACTTAGTTACTAACAAGTGTTCAATCGAATTCCACAACTTTACAAAATAATTTCTACTTGGCAAACGACTCATATATATACAAATCAAAAAAGTATAAATGAAAAATAATTAACTTGGCAAATATAGGGATACAAATTTGAAAAATGCAGACATAATTTCGCACTTTTCAACACATATATGGGTAATTTTGCGCATACCGATCCAATTAATATGATACTTTTAAGCATTCTAAATGATCAATGTAGGCTCAACGCAGCGCCACGACGCTAGGTCTTTTGTCTAGGCCTCAGTTTCAGCGCCCTTTAGCCGGAGCCGTGCGAAATCTTCAAAGATAATGTCATCGTCTTGGGAATCATCTTCGTCTAATTGTATCAAATTGGTTGTGGGCACCTCAGCTTGTTGCGCTTCGTCCACGCCATTGCCACCATTACCACATTCCAATGATAATGCACCATCACGTATGCTCTGGCGTGGCGACTTATCCATTAATAGTGGATTATCTTCTTCTTCCGGTTTTGGATGCATCAATGTAAATGGCAATTCAGCTACCAAATCATTGCCCATTAACGCTCCACTGATGAGCAGTTTAACTTTCACCTTATAGTGTACAATGATACCAAGACTTTCGCGTTGTGCCGGATTCGTTATGAGCGTGCTGGACGCCAAATTTGTATCCTCGTGCTTCAACTGGCCGTCGAGCGCGAGTCCCCACTTGTCCTTGTTGTCGGCAAGCAGTGGACACAGTTCAAACACTTTCGAGAGCGTAAAACCGGGCAGCACCTGACAACCATCCTCCGATTCGGTTTCCGCCACCACCGACTTATACTGCGCCGTCGAGAAAAGGCAAATGTCGGCGAATTGACGCACACAAACTTTAATCTTCTTTACGTTGCGATTCGAATTGTTGGCTATATGCACATTGACGGAAATTTTTTCACCATGATGATATAACTCCTTGTCCAAACTGGCTTCTAGGTGGATTTTATTCGGTTTCAACAAAAACTCTTTGCTCACTTCGATGGATGGCTGTTCGCCCACCTTGGACGGTGCGTACATAACCTTACGTATGGTCAAACGGACAGAGTTGCGCTTATGCGGTTTATCATCGATGTGTTCGCCTGTGAAAAGTTAATTGCATTATTATTATTGTTGTCAGCTGCTTGCATTCCAAAAACAAACTCAACTTAAAGGCAGCGTGTGTAATTAAAAAAAAGAATTTTAAATATCATGTTTGCTTACTATACTTAGCCTTGCCATAAATTCGGTTACAAAGTTTACAATGCGTACACCGAGGACTTTACATAAATGTGAAAGCGCAAGTGATATTTATTTATTCATTCGAAAAAACTATACAAAAAACTTAATATGTCAAAAAAGCTGGTTTGCCGCGATATTGATCGTTCAACTAATATTTCTACAATTGATGACAGAAAGTGAAGTGGTCGTACTCACGTAGCTCGAACCAATTCAGCCATAAAAACTATTCACGCACGCATTCGCAGAAATCTTCTTAGATATATATAGGTATAATAGTGTCAAGGGAAATAAGTAGATATATATATCAACCAGATCAATGTTAAGATTTATTCAAGGTGATCGGCATGACTAAAAACTTACCGATTCATACAGGGTTAAATCGCCGAAATAACAGCTCTTGATCAAATACACCGTAAAGGTGCGTTGCCATACTCGCAAATAAACGTTTTACAACAAAATTCTAACTTATATGCATTTTTCAATTATAAAAGATAGATAGATAGATAATGATTGAGGTATGCACCGCGACCTATGGTCTATTGTGCCCTCCCCTAAGTCACAGCGACTCATCTAGCCCCAGCATATTGATGAACTCCCAAGTGAGACGATGCGATCCCTGTTTGGAAACATGGATCCCAGGGCCTTAACTCTACGTCTGCAGACTGCTGTGCAGTCCACTAGTAGGTGTTCTGGGGTTTCCGGATTATAATAGTCTACTATTTACGATTTTTGGTTCCATAATTCTATTTTATTGTCAATTGAAATTCCTTACAGTTCCTTTAAAAATTATCTGCTGATAATACTTAAATTTTTTTTAACAATAAAAAATAATTGTTTCCTCTGCAGAACTGTGATAACACTTTTTTTTTGCAAATAGTTGAGAAAAACATTTTGAATCTCTAAAAAAAAACCAAAAAAAAACAAAAAATACACTTAACGAAATCATCTAACATGCGCTTCCCAAACATGAATTATTTAACAATTAAAGCATGATTTCTGAGTTTTTAGCAAATAAATACAACAAGCGAAAACCAAGTGTTGAATGAGAACCTAATTTAGCATTAAACAAGAACGAACGTTAAAGTCGATTGCACCGAAGTTATAATACCCTTCACAAATGAATAAGTTTTCACATAAGAACTTGATTTTGATCGGCTAGTTTGTATGCGAGCTACTATATGCTATAGTGGTCCGATCTGCACAATTTGTTCGGAGATTGCACCGTTCCGTTTGACAAATTTCGTGAAGATATCTTGTCAAATAAAAAAAGGGTTATCTCAAAAACTGAAGTTCTAGTTCGCCCAAATATAGACAAATTGACAGACAGACAGACGGGCATGGCTAAATCGACTCAGCATGTCACGCTGATCAATTATATATATTTTTTATGTCCCCGACGTTTCCTTCGAAATGTTACAAGCTGTGTGTTCCTGTTTAGGGTATAAAAATAGCATACTCTTTAATGTACGCAAGCACACACACGCATACATATACAACAGTATATATGTAGATGCCTATGTACATTTATACGTACAATTTCTATTGAGCTCCAGCAGTCGAATGCTAAATATGTTTCTGAAATTTACTCATTAAAATTTCTGTTTAATTTCAGTGAATAGTAATTTATAGGCAAGTCAATTTACGTCAATGTTAGACATGTGTAGACTCGAAGTAAGGGGGTAAAGAAATAAACAAAATTCACTTTTATTTACTATACATGCATACAGACATACAAACAATCATACATACACAGATGTATTGCTTTTATGGCAACACAAACACATGTCACATATGTATACATATACTTATATGTATGTACATTGTGTGTGAGAAACGTCTATTTAAGTTCAAAAATTGCTATATACATACGCGATTTCGTTTCTGTTAACAAGTTTATATTAAAATCAGTTGCAAAAAGGTGGCAATATAAAATTGTTGTGTAGCAAATTTATTTATGCAACTTTCTGAAGCCAAAATTTTTTAGAACCATTTATGTTTCATTATCCTGACCTATTAAAATTTCTTATTCGAAAATCCACACAAAAATGCAATTTGTTTTTTTTTTTAGCTCTTTGCACTTTCGCGAGGGTGTGCGGGTTTGTTTTACATTTTCCATTTCTTTTGAAACCACGACTAAATATTTTTATTTATAAAAATGACATATCCAGTTTTTACTGATTTATTTCGAATTTGGCACTTTGGATATTTTGCAATAATTATATGAATCAGTTTTATATGTATAGACGTATATACATACATATGCATGTACCTAGGCATATACATACATATGTATATTGTAGAAGTTAATTATTGCAGAATAATTAACTGAAATGCTTGCCGACAGAGCAAAAACAGCAGATAGGTAGAAGTGCGATTAAGAAAAATAAACAAAAAAGCAATGGCAAATGCGAAAACATAATAAAAATCAACACAATTGTATTTTATTATGTTCACAATGGCATACCATGCCACAGGCATAGATAACCAATACTGCGCGCGTAAATCTCAAAGGCTTTGCTGTTTAAGAAATATATACAATATATGTATATGTTACACGCATACATACATATGTACAAAGTGTACGAATGTAGTTTGCGATCGAAGCGATATCGTTTTGCAATGAAACCCCAATAACCAAAACGGCCAATGGCAACAGCTAACAATGCAATAAATTATAGGCATTAGATCGATGATTCATTCGCAATAAATGAAGCTTACTTTGAATTTCACATCTATTACATGAAGCCGGTTACGCGAAGTTATTTAAGGGAGAAAATATTTTAAATGTTTATATTTGATAACTGTCGTACTAGAAAAACTATTCTTAAATAAAATTATTGCCACATCTTTATTATATCACAAAAAAATGTGTGCTATTTTTGTTAACATACCAGATATGTCATTATACATATAACATTTTTGCTTTAAACGAATCAATTAGTTTACGCTACCTATAACCGTTTTAACCCCTATACGTCATGACTTTAAATGGTCTGCATCCACTTGCGCACCAATTATAACTGCGCACATATAATGCTCGGTTGCGTTGTCGAGATATGGGCCATATTTATAAAGCGAGAAAAAACCAAAGCAAGCATGTATAATTGAATTATTGTGTTCATTGTCATGAAATTATTATCGACGAGATTAATTAACCTCACTATGACATGGGTTATTGTACAGTAGCCACAACTACCAAAAAAAAAATAAAAAATTTAGTGGCGAAGGTAGGCGAAATGAATGAATTTGACTTTGAAAATGACCGGAATTTACTAATGTATTACCAAGTCCTTAAAAAAAATATTACAACTGTAACAGAGATCAAATAAAAATATTAACTTAAAGTAAAAAGGTTCACTACTCTGCACTACAATTACCACTTTATTATTTACTCACCAACAAAAGCTTTTAGTTCGTAGTCCACGCCACAAGATTTGCCCGTGTCCCCAGGAGCTGGTTGAAGCGACACTGATGCCGGACAATACGGAGGAACTTCAAAGTAAAAAGGATATGCATTTGGTCCCAATTTTTTTATAAGCCGCTCTTGTAATCTAGTTAATGGCCGCTCATTTTGTTGTGGCGGATATATTTGTTCATGCGCTAGATACAAATCTTTGCGAAAGGTCAGGCCAAGTACATCCAAATCTTCTCGACCATACCGAAACGCGGCAAGAACTTGTCCAAAAACTTTGCGGTCTTTAACATACTCTGGATCGATGAAAACTACACCATCGATTGGATCCACATGTGTAACGTGATCGACGAAATCGCGCTTTCCTAGGTACACTGTGACCTTACCATTGGATGAACTCTTTTTAAATACTCTTGTAGCTTGGCGCCGCGAACTCGCATCAGCATCTCCACCACCACCTCCAGCCTCATCTGCAGAGGGTGTGGCAGTAGTTGCGGCTCCACTGGTGGAAAGGGTATTCATCGGTGTATATATTTTTATTGAAACAGCCTCTATTTACTGGATCGTTATAGGTGGTTACGCTTGCTTTATCAAATTGCTTTTATTGTTGCATCTAACTGCAGATGACACGATGATAGTATGGTGGTATATTCCTAGAAATATCACATTTACCTTTTTAACCGTTTCGAGTTCGCATTAAATATTTCCAAAATTGTATATTCTCATCTCCTAGTTCCGTTCTTGTTCGGTATTTATTCTATATTGTGTCTCAATGCACTTTTATAATATATCAATTTTGTCTACAAATTTTTCCTCCAATTAGCTCGTCCTCATTCTTTTTATATTTTTTAAACGATCAGAAATTAACTAACGACGACGACCAACCCAAAATATTCAGCAAAAAATTGACACGAAGGAAACGTCACTCGAAATGTGTATACCGTACAGTGTTGCACGATTAGAGGGAAAAAGCCGATAACATCCCTTTTTCATTTGCCTTAATTATTTTATTTAGTTATTAAAAAATTATAGTAAAAAAATTATTTATACGTATCCCCATAACCTAGAATATAAAAATTATACCAAAAATAATGAATGTAGAAATTTAAATTTATATTTTTAAAAATATTAAAACAAATCTTATAATACAACACTGACAAAACACGTCACAAATTGGTTTGTAAAATACCAATAAAAACGAAGTCTCCAATTCTGAAATGCGTTTGAAATTGGGTGTGATAGCAACTTAATTAGTATGGTCTTAATATTATTACCCTGTTAAAATGTTTAATTCAACAAAAAATATTTAATTTACATATTATAGGTTCAGCATAATTGAATTATTACGAAATATTTTACTATTTAGAATATATCTATTATATATATATATATATACTGCATAAAGTATGAAAAAATACCATTCCATACAATATATATGTCTATATGTTAACCAAATGCAGTTCGGTTACTTGATACGGGTGGTATAAATAAGCATTTGGTATGCCATCATAAAAAAACGTCTTTCATAGATATATATTTCTTTTATATAAAATTTAAATGTATCTGGCAACTTTATTCATACATGTGCCATTGGCAATATTACAAATAATTTTTTGTAACAAACACGTGTGTTAGCAAATAGCGTGGTTCATTCACATTCGATATTCGATCGGTTTAATTAGTAGTGTTAAAATAATATTTTAAAGATTAAAAATGAAGCAAAGGAAATCAAATGTTGGAGTAAAATCACCTTTAAACGGTGTGAAAAATGATAGCATCGTGAAGAGGCAAAGAAATAGTGAACTAAGCACTCCAGCAAAAGGAACACCAGCAAAGAACAATCAAAAGAAACTTGGCAAAACTCCTGTTAAGGAAGTACCACCGAAGAAGGTAGAGGTGGAAGACGAAGATGAATCCGAGGAAGAAGAAGATTCCGGTGCCGATGTAGCAGAAGATATTGTTATCGAAGATGGGGATTCTGAAGCTGAAGATCAAGAGGACGACGACGATGATGATGACGACGACGATGATGATTATGAAGAAGATGACGACAATGCCGGTTTGGTAGATGACGAAGCAGAGGAAGATGATGAGGCTGAGGGTAATAGTGACGAAGAACCAGATGAAGTACCCATTGAAAAACATGCCACGGAATCCCCAGCCAAGGCTAAGCCTAAAAAGTCGAAGTCATCGGATGAGACTGGTGTGCAAAAAATTAAAACTGGAGCTCTTCCAAAAGATTTTCCAAAGGAGCAAGTGCTTATTGTAAAAAATTTGCCCAAAAGTAAGTAAAATTATATAGAAAGATGACAAAAATATATATTATTTCGCATTTCCACAGATTACAAACAAATTGACATCGTTGAGGTATTTGCGAAGTTTGGTACCTTACATACAATTTATAATAATCATGGACCAGCAAGCTGTGTAGCATATGTTGCATATACATCGCCGGAAGAAGCCGAAGCGGCCCAAGAAGCAACAGACAAAATTGCTAAAGTAAAAGGAGCCCTTTTAAGTGTAAACATTCAAACGCCAAATGCGAAAAAACTTAAAAAGGCCGAACTCAAAAATAAGATTTCTGAAGAAAAAAAAGACACGTTCGAAGAAAACAAAAAAAAATATGAGGAAAGCAAGAACCGAACAGTATATATCAAATATGTAAAACTCGGAACAACAGAAGATCAAATTAAGAGTCATTTCGCCAATTGTGGTGTCATCGAAAGTATTAAAGTATTGACACGTGGTCAGAACTCTTTTAGTTATGTTTGTTTCGAAGATGAGGCGGCAATTCCAAATGCTTTAAAGCTACACAATTCAATACTAAATGAGAGTAACATTTCGGTTCTTAAGAGTGACCAACAATTCAAAGAGATGACTAAGGATCCTCAACGCACAATTCTACTTAAAAATAATACAAATTTATGTAAGTAACTGTAGAAGGTTATAGTTACAATATATTGATTTCTGTTTATTTATTTTAGCGAATTTCGAGTCCTCGAAATTAGAGGTGATATTCTCAAAGTGTGGCGAAATTGAAACCTATTCCATAGTGTGCATGAAAAATGTGTTGGCTTTTGTAACATTCAAGGATCAAAAATCTGCTAAAAAAGCTTTAAAATTGAATGGTACCAGTGCACAAGGTATCGATTTAGAAATTGAAGAGTATAAAGTAATTACACCCAAATATAAAACAACTGTATTTGTACAGAATGTGAGAGCAGGTAAGGTTACTAGCTACTTATTTATTTTTTTGAAAATTATTACATTTATCTCTACATATGTTAGATATATATAATATGTATAAGTCTTTGTCGTTTATTTAATTCAAATCGACATACAACTATTTCATTAGAGAAAACTGTTGCACTTAATAAATATTTCAGGTGTAACCCAAGAAGAAATTCGTGAGCTTTTTGCTTCCACAGGACCAATTGAGAGTGTGAATGTATTTAACAACTTCGCCATTGTTAAATTCGAGGATACTGATAGCTTTTGCAAAGCTTTCCTCTTAAACGAGTCATATGTGCGCGGACAAATCATATTCTTAGAACCATATTCGGAAAAGAAACAGGCTGTACTAAGAAAAATACATCAAAAGCCAGGATTTAACCGGAAAAGACCAGCGGATTCGCAACAAAAGGGCTTTGCTAAAAAAAGTAAACCTAATTAACTGAACTGTTGCTGCATACATTTTAATTTCTTTTCGTATGAAAAGTAATTTTTACATATAGTTTTAAATATAATGTATAAAACAAAAACTGTTGTTTTTATTTGGTCGGTTCATTGATTGATATGGAAGAAAAGTACATACATATGTACAGTAAATATAACGCAGCTTGGTAAAAATAGAAAAATAATTCGCAATGGAGAAAAAAGAGGGTGAAATAAATGTGTGGCCGTCAAAAAGATCTACATTACAATACCCGGGAATTTAAACAGCTTGCATTGTATATTGACAGATGCAAACGTTTAATAGCAAAGAATTGGACTCCACATAATTGAACGAAATAAATACGAAACCATAACATTATGGAAATGAGGAAGATCCAAGAATAGTACGGCTCTGACAAACTACTTAAAAAAAAAAGTTCATAATTCGACTTTAAATAAGGTTATTTTCTGCTAAATCTTTTCGAAATTAAAGGAAACAGACAATACCGATTAATATAAGCTTGACTTCTTGAAGAAACATTAAAAATAACTTTAGACTTGGAGGCTTTGAACTTATGTAGTCATACCACTAACTTCTTTCCACGTTAGTTAAGAATAAAATATGTCGTCGAAAGTCGTTCACTCTTAAAAAGTCATAACGGCTTCTGCGGAAACTCCATCTATATACAAGGTGCGTTCCAAAGTAAACAGTAAAAAAGTAACAAAGTAAACTCTAGTGGCGCCATATATATTATATATATATTTTAATTATAAAATAAATACAAATAAAAATTTCATGACATTTCATCTATTGGAAGTGAAGTTATTGGGTTTTAAGTGTCAGTATGGTTTTTGTCATCGGTGCCAAAAATGAGCTTCGAACAAAGAGCCAACATAAAATTTTGTTCTAAAATTGGTAAAACTTTTACCGAAACGTTTTATTTGATGAAACAAGTTTATGGCGATGATTGTCTATCCCGTAGTAGAGTGCACGAGTGGTTTCAACGCTTTCAAAGTGGTCGTGAGGACATAAATGAGAAATGAGCCGAAACCCAAAAAATCGCACCTGGAGAAGTCAAAAGTGAAGACAATGCTGATTTGTTTTTATGATTCCAAGGTTATTGTCCACAAAGAATTTGTTCCACCAGGCCAAAACGTTAATGTGGTATTCTACCTTGGAGTTTTGAAGCGTTTGATGCGCCGTATTCGACGTGTTCGGCCCAAATATCGCGAAGATGAAAGTTGGCGTTTCTTGCACGGTAATGCGCCGTCTCATCGATCGACGCTTATTTGACCAAAAATTACATTTTAACAATCAACCACTCTCCGTATTCACCTGATATGGCACCGTGCGACTTCTACCTTTTCGGAAAAATGCATTTGCCGATGAAAGGAAAGCGTTATGCAGACGTGCAGGACATTGAAAAGGCTTGCACCGGCATACTGGCGGCCATACCGGGCAACAAGCTAAAACACTGGTTCGACATGCTTTTGGACCGTGCAAAAAGCTGTATTAAAGCAGAAGAAGACTATTTTGAATAAAATTAATTGATTTTGCCGATAAAACCATTTGTTCTGTCTTTTTTTTTAAAGTCCTGTTTACTTTGGAACGCACCTTGTATATATATCCAATATCACAATATCCGTGGAAGAATATAAAAAAGAACAAATTTTCATCCATGTTACTGTTCTAGCGGAAGAAAACGCCCCTGATGTAATTTGGAGGAAGGCTGCCGAATTGACAATCCTTGGGTGGATAAAAATTCGGGTCCGTTCCGATTACGTAGATCCGACTCTCGTGGGAACAAAATTTACATCTGTCCATTCAACTGTTAAAGCCTCCGAAACAAAAAGAAAAAGAAATGTAAGTATTTATACGTTGACACGAAAGTTGGGACTACGTAACTGGAATGGATTCGAACTTATTTTCGGCCGCACATAAGTTGAATATGCAAATGGGGGTATTTTACAAAATATCTCTCACAATTGCTATTTAGATTACATTAAAATTAACACTATACACTTATTACTTGCGGCGAACATTAAAGCAGATGCTGGAAAAAATATGCGGGGAAGGAAAAACTACAATATCATAAATGCTGAACGGAAACGTTTCTGGGATTGAGATATCAGATTTTTGAAAGGATTATAGAAGAACATTTGGCCAGATTTAATTAAAAGCGAAGACACTGTCCATATAAATGAAATAGTGGAATTACAAAAACAAACCGGTTTAGATGAGGTTACTGTGAAAGACGTCGAAGAAATAGTTTAAGAAACAGCACCTAGTCTTCAAATAGCTGAGCACGAAGAAAACAAATATATTGACAATAGCAATTTCGAAGAAGAGCAAAAAGAACTCTCGGTGATGCGAAAGGAGTTTGAACACTACTACTGAAATTATGAACCAATTTGAAAAAAAATTATCCAAATTTTGACAGGAGTTCAAAAGCAATCATGCATACATACATGACAAGACGCCTCGTTTAGAGTTGTTCGGATTACGTTCTACCAGAGACCCTACGCATTAAATATCATCATCAATAAAGTTTCTAAAATATACATGATTCCTTTTAGCTATTTAGCGTATAGACCATAAGCATGGCGAAATTGCCCTTAACTAATTTAAGCCACTCTTACGTACAACTGTTAACTTTTAGCTGCTTATGTACCTGAATATTATATTTGGTTCACAAAGTATTTATATACATGTATGTACGCGCAAATATATATATATGTATGTATGTAATGGCGATTTCTTGTGTGATTCACTGCGACGTCGGTGGTTCATATCACGCCGCGTTTTTGCGCGTCAAACTCAAAAGTCGCGTGATTCATGAGATTCTCACTCGTGGGCTGTTATATTTGTGATTCCTCCACCGAATCTTTTCGGTTTTCGCTCTTCGCACCATGTTCTCAATGAATGTGCTCATACATTAAAACGAGTATAATATCCAAATATATTTCAACGATCACATCGATCGCTCCACCAACAAAATACATTTACTTTTGCATTGTTTTTATATTTTTGTTATTATACCGTGTTATTATAATTGATAGTAATGAGCAGCAGATCCCCACGCCCAAATATTTGCAAAAGGTTTCTCTCACCTCCTATGCCTTGCACAAATAGACTTTCACATCACACACACAGGCCGATGTATGCACGTGTGCATGTACATACATACTTACATATATATGTATGAATAGCTGAGCATGTGCTATTTGCAAACTGTTGTAAATTGCATCCCCATTCATATAGGCATTTACAACTGTACGAACATCTGAGGTCGTATTAAATATTCATATTGAAGTACATATAAAAATAAATGCATACTTATATAGATATTTATGTATATGGACGAGTATATGTATATCGCGGCAGGTGATTTGATGTAGCACTTATTGTACACACTGAACTTACGAGATCCACGGATGGCCTTTTGTCTATCTTCTTAACACTTTTCTGATCTATGTTTTTATCTACAATGGTATACTAAATTAACGCAAATCACTTATTGTCATAAATAACGTTAAAAAAATCTATATTGCATTGCAATTTTAAAAACAAAAACAAAATTTTAAAAATTAAATTTTCAACTTAATTGCTTAGTTTTTCAAAAAATACATAGTATTTCACTTTTTCTTCGCATTTATGACATATATTATAATAATATTTCATTTTTCCTCAATTGTGCAATATATTGTGAAATCGTTTAAAAGATTTCAGCTCGGTTTATTAATGTAATATTTCCAATGTCCAATAAAAAAACAAGTTTACATGCAGAATGAAATATATTTAACACTTGACGCCATATCAATACATACATGCACAGCGCCGCAGAGAGAAAACCGGGACCCCGGGAGGATCCATAAAATTATAGATATTATATTTTTGTTATTTTGAGAAAAAGTTAGTTTCATTTTACCATACATATGTATGTATATTTTTTTGCAGATGTTATATTAATTTATAACATTACAAAAAATGTTTGTTACCGGGCCCGAGAGGAATGGTCTTCGATCTCCTGCCTCTCTCCTGCACTGTACATACTTGTATATATACCGTTGTAAAATGCTAATCAGGCCATCTTACTCCGTTACTATTCCTATTATTCTATTGATTATTTTCAAGGTTCATTAATTGAGGAAAACACACTTAAAATAATTTTGAATTTTTAACATTTATTGTATTTCTAATATCGGCCACTGAAGTTAGTGGTTACTGTTAGTTACATGCACACATAAGAATGTATTTGCTGTCATGTCTATCTTGTACCACTACGGGCATTTGTTGTTCTTTACTGGTAATTAATTAAACATATGTATGTATGTATATATAATATATACCCAATATAATTCCGCTGGGTTCCGTGCTTCGATAAGTTTCATTTAATTCTTAGTTCTGTTGTTATGATCCATCATATGTTGTTTAAGTCCATTCGTATTTCTATGCTTTACTATGCAACTAGTATGTTTGTATGTATGTAAGTAAAAATTTATGTTTGCATGCACTTGTAAACATGTAGTTCAATATGTAATCATGTATTTTTTACCTTGCTATGGTATTTGGCGATCTCTCTGATTTTGCAGATTTTTCTTCAAACAAATCAGTTGTAATATTTTCTATGTCTGATATAGGGATTTTTAGATGGCAATATGCAATTAATAATTCTACTCACATTTTATATGTATTAATTGATAAATGTCCCATTTTTAAGGGTAATTATTTTGTTTTAAAAGATATTCATAGCATTACTTTCTATAATAATTTTTTTTTTTTAATTTAAGTGTGTATAATTGTATAATATGCTCTAGATATACGTACGTATGTAAATATAAAAGTTACATTTAAATTTTCAAGTTCATAATAAATTCTATTGTAAGAACTGTAAATTAAAAATATTTGTTAAAAAGGTCAAGTTCTTTTGCAATGTTCGCTTAAATGTACCCAATGAACAGTTCAAATAATTCTGCAAATCAGCTTTCTAATGTTGTGTAATTGTATAAGATATGTATATTCATACACATGTTAAATATAAACCCCAGGTGTCACTGTGTGCAAATTACAATGGAAATTAATACTGGAGGTCTTTATCGTGTTAAAAAAGTTTCGGTAGTTTAATTTGAGACCTATATGATTGATATTTGCAATTTGCCAAAAAAAAACAAATTTGGAGTTGCTTAAATAGAAATATTCAATGGAATTTGAACTATAGGCAGCCGTTTGGCATAATTTAAAAAAATCTTACACTTATGCATATAATAAAAGTATTGAAAATTCCATTGACTTGTTAACTTGGATTAAAAGAAATGGTTTAATGTGAACGTGTTTTGTTTTTGCGTTTGCCAAAAATGGAAAACAACTGGATCCAATACTTAAAAGCACGCTTTTAACAAAACAACGCAACACTAATCTATCAAAATCAGACAAAAATGCACACACTGGAATTGTAAAAATCCTTTTTTTTCTAAATTTGATATTACCAACTGGAAGTACACTTTAATGCAATATGGAAGCTAACTAATTCGAAAAAACGAGGAGTTAGAGCCTAAAAATTTTGTGTAAACGAAGCTACCGCGCGTATGTTACTGTAGTCAGTCTCCTTATTTAAAATATTTCTTTAAAACGTCATATCTACCCACACAACACAACACATTATATTCGGATTTAAGCTAAAAAAAACAGCAATATCAAGCTATTTGTTCCCCACCCCTCAAGTGCATTGCAAAACAGCAACTTTTCGATCATTATCACTTGCATTCAATTCAATTAACAATAAGGCAAATTAGATGTAAAGGGCACTACTGTTAAAGCAAGCAAAATTATGGAAAATATTTTATTTCACAAAGAGCTATTAAGGCTTAGTATATAATAGATATATTTGTATTTTGTGCACTACTTGTTTTATTTTTTTAAGTGGCACCATACATACCTACAATAAATTGAAGTGCTTATATACGCGCACATGTACTACAATAAATGTGAGAGCAGGCAATGTGAATAAATTCGAGTTGTGAGTTGATTAAAAACGGTTTACGTTTAAGTCTTAGATACTAAAATACAATTGGAACACAATATTTAATTTAAAAAACTTCAAAAAGACGAAATGTAAGTATATAAACACTCAAATATTTGGCTTGATCCTCGCCATTGCAGGCGTGAGGAGTTTGATTTATGAACGAGCTAGTGCGTATGTATAAAATAAGTGCAGTAGGAAGATTTGATGTGGCAGAAAATAATGTAATTACTAACTAAATTATACAAATAATAATATAAATGAAATTTAAAATTAAAATAAAAGACAAACATTAATTTTTATTCTTTTTTTGTAGCTTTTTAATCGTTTTTTTTTTGTTTTGCGTACAAGTTTATCGTAAAAATTATCGTAGTTTTGAGAATAATATAATAAAATATATATATATATATATATATGTGTGTGTTTCGACAGACTTATAAGTTGAGAATTTCTTTTTTAATTTAAACAAATTAAAGGAAATAATACAAAGGAGCACAAATCAAAATTGGGAATTTCGGAAGAAAATTACAAAAATAATATTAATAATACACTGGGTAGGAGCACAGCAAGTCCACAATTTGTTTCATAAATAATATTCACTTGTTTTTTCTTTGTGTTTATAATTAAGTATACTGTTTCGTTTTCTTGTGTTATACATTTACTCACATATTGTAAACAGGAACAGAATAATGAAGTACAAAAATATATATCAAAAATGCACAATTCGATCGTTAATGATTAAAGATTAAAAGATCTTTTCGCATCTCATCTAATATTTAATAGATATTCATATACATATGTATGTATGTGTATAAAAAGATAATTCCACTTCATATATTTTTACTTATGACGGATTCCGCGCATACTTTTTTTTAATATTATGTTTTTATTTATTTTTTTGTTATGCTTATATTTTGCATTTAATATTTCTTAAGTTTTTTTTTTTTTTGGGGAATATTAGTTGTCGTTGTTAGGCCAAAAACTACTGGCTCACAAAGTGGTAATAAGAAATTTTTTTCTTTAGCTTTTTTTATAAATTTTATGATTTTTATTTCGTTTTTCGTCTTTCCCATACATTCACCAGCACAAAATCAACTATTTAAATAAACGATAAATGACAAAAGTAAAAAATTACTATGATAAATAGGAAAACATAATAATTAACGATGAGCATTCCAACATCAATCCATGGATGATAATGAGTATAAAAAAATAACTGAAACAATAAATATTTTTGTCTTTAAATATGTGTATGCAATAAAAGGAGTAAACAAATCAGCGTAAATGACAAATATAATAGCATAATGCGCTATAGAAAACTAGTACGATTATAAAAGAGCGAAAAAATTATTTGAAAACATTAGACACTAAACTTTTCAAAACAAGAAAACAAATACATATAAAAAATTGTGTTCCCTTTTTTAAAAAGGTAACACTTTACAGAACCATGCAACTTCACGAAGATTATTTGCAAGCGAGTGTATCAAAAACGTACATATTTGGGTGTGCACTTTTATATTTATACAGAGTCTATCGCAATTAAGCGAACACCAATGACTACTGTGTATGTATTTTAGTTTAAATTGAAAATATGCAATTATTTGTTCGTTTTGCATACTAATTGTCATTTTCATTACACTTTCTTTCTAGTCACATCCGTATTCCACTATCGAGAATTGTTCGTTTAATATTTGAATTTCTACTATCTCTCTTTCAATCGCATCTTTCTTATCAAAGTTCGTTTAAAATAATATTTCCCTCCGCCAAAATACTCTTCTGTTTTTATTTGTTTTGATTTAGCAATCTGCCTAGCAATAAAATTATAAAAATTATGCGCAGCTGCTTTTACCTACCATTCCTCACTCCTTACTGATTCGATCTTAATACCTTGTGCATAATGTCTATTCGTCCAAAGGTAAGTTCCCTCACAAAAATAAATATTATTAAATGACGACGATCGCTTACTTTGATCTAACATTTCTTCATTTTCCTTACAGCACTTTAAAAATACAAAGTCTTCTTTCTGTTCCTGTCCTTTAAGCATCAATCAGAGATGCCTGTATATGCTGCTCTAATAGAGGATCTCCACCATTCTCTAACTCAAGTTTATGAATACCATTCTCTATCAGTTGAAGAGTGTCACCATCACCTTTACCGTTCAAATGGGCTGTCTGCTCCGGTTGAATAGCAGTAGGTTCTTCTGCTCCTATAGCAGCAGTACCATTTGTTTTCGTCTGTCCTACGGTAGGCTTATCTTTTAATTGATTTGATGCTTTAATTGGAGTTACTGCTTTCTTAGTTACATCTTTGGTTTTCGCTTTTAGAAGTGAGCTTGTCGTTTTCGTAGGCGAAAGTGAGGATTTGCCAGCTGTTGTTGGTCTAGTAGGTCCCGGTGGAGTCTTTTTCTGCAACGTACTGCTGGAGGTTTTTGCAGATGTTGCACTAATCGATACACTACCTACAGTGCGGCGTGTCGTAGTCGATGATAATGTGGATGAATGCGTAGTCTTCGGGGCAGGGCGAGCAGTAAAAGTCTTAGTAGTTGTAGTTGTTGTAGTGGTAGTGGTAGAAGTCGAACTCTTAGCACGACTTGCAGCAGTTGTTGTGGTCAAACTTTTAGTTACGCCATTAGCAGTTGGTGCAGTAGTCTTAAGAGGACTTTTAGTTGCAGCTACACCAGTACTTGTGCTAGTTGGAGCCACCTTGCGTAGCTGCGATGTTAAAGTGGTGCGAGGCGATGACAACTTCGGTTTGGTTGTACCCGAGAGACCCAAAGTTGTTGGCTTAGTAGGTGCACCGCTGGTTGGTTTGGGCTTAGCCGTGGTTGTGCCATTGGACGCAGTCGTCAATGTCCCTGTAGTAGTTGGTGCAGATCGACGTGCAGTAGTCGCGGTAGTGGTACGTGAAGCAGTCAATTTACCAGCAGTCGGTGCTGTCGTTGGGCGTGTTGTAGTTGTTGTCTTAGAAACTGTTCGAGACGTTGCAGTGGTAGAGGTTAACGGCTTGCGAGCAGAAGAAGTAGCTGACAATTTAGTTGAAGCTGTGGTTGTAGCCGGTTTTTTCTCAGCGATGGTAGTCGCCTTAACCGGAGCAGTACGAGGCCTAGCGGCAGACACTGTTGAAAGAGATGTTTTACCAACCGGTTTTTTAATTGGTTCTGCAGCCTTTTTAACATCGGTACCCTTTATTTTCGTCGAAGTTGGAGTACGAGCCTGTTTAACCTCGGTTTTTTTGTGAGCATCCGCAGCAACTTTTACAGCGGCAGCCGTAGCTGCAAGAGCACCTACAGCAGCAGCAGCGATCACGGTTTCTTCAACAGCTGACGGTGTAGTTTCGTTAGCAGCTAACTCCACAGTGGTAGGCACAGAGTGCTGATCTGAAGTTTCCAAAATTGGTTCAGTCACAGCCGATACATTTGCATCCAAATTTCTGTTCTCCTCTAATACATTTACAGGCTCCGAGTGGAACACTTGTACCTCCGACTCTGGCTGCGTAATAAGCTCTGGCTCAGAAAATAATTGAACTTCCGGCTCTGGCACAGCCTTCAGTTCTGGCTCTGGCTCAACAACGAATGACTCTACCAGTTTCACATGAGTCTCTTTATGTGCTGCCTCAGCAATGGGTGACTCTACCAGTTCCACATGAGCCTCTTCATGTACTGGTTCTATTGATAAATCTACTGGCTCTGGGTTGACTGGAGTAGCATTTGAGTTTTCCACAAATATGGAAGCAGGTATGTGCTCCTCAAATCCATTTAATTCGGACTCCAATTTCACAGGGGACGCTACTAGTGGTTGTTCATCTTCTGGCTTTGTCAATAATAAAGTATTTTCGTGATGTTCAAATGTGGACTCTGCTGTTTCCTCCTGTGAGTGTTGTTGCTCCTGTTGTTCGTTGTGGTAGCTTTGTTCGTTTTGCTGCGAAAAGTCAGCTTTTGGCTGTAGTTCGGTTGAAAATGTTGAAAATGCTTGATCCGCTTCAATTGGTGTTTGTTCAACAACCGCTGCGTCTTGTTCGGGTTCTGAAGCAGCAAATGGATTCAGACTTTCAACGATGTTAGCTGCTGTCTGTGCAACCTCCTCTACCTGTAAAAACATAAAAATATATAAATAAATATTATTATATATTATTAACTTTAGAAATAAGCTACTGTAAACATCAATTAACTAAAGAAACTCTCAAAGTATGGCGATTTTTGCCGTTCTTCAATTCAACAAACGCCTCAAAATGAAAGCAGTTAAATTGTTTAACCCAAAACTTCATGTCCGAAAACATATCCAATATTTCTAATGGAGTTGCACACATTTGTTGCACATCATTAACAACGCAACAGGTTCGCACCAGCATTCATATTGAAGGCGTTCTATACATATGTAGGTATGTAGTCTAAGCCATTGACATTTAAAGCCAAGAAAGCAAATAGTTTCGGGTACACAACAAAGAATGTTTCACAGCTGGAAGCAGTGTCCGTCAGTCAGGCCTAGCTATCGATGATTAACAATAATTAAGAAAATTTGTACATAATTGTACACTTCAGCAAGAGAAGATGCACAGTAACCAACCATGATTGGATTACAACTGCAGACGCAACTATTTTCGCTGAGTAATAACAAATATAAAATAATGGAATAGATAGAAATAAATAACGGATGATAACCAGTCGGAGAAAAGAAGGCAGCTACGGAAAAAAATCACAACACCAAATTATTTTTCATACCGAAGACGGAGTTACACACACAAAAGACATGTATATAAAAAGCAAAGTAGAAATAAAAATAAATAGAATAACCACCAAATTGTGAGAACAAAGAGTTAACAAATTGAAACGGAAGAAGCTCGGAAAATTCCAATATTTTGAAAGCAATTAAGTTGCAGAATGAAAACGAAATAAAAAGAAAAACAATTTTTTATATTTTAATACATTTTAGAAGATTTTTAAATAAAACTGTTATGACAAAAACATAAATTAAAAAAGGTTCTACAAATACAGAATCTGAGTATATACATATAAGGTGCGATCATTCATACATAATATAAAATATAACATATATAAGTGTATAAATGTATGTATTACTTTTTAATGCCCGCTTAGATTTTGTAGTTATTGCAATGCAATTTTCTCATCCTGACTTTTCCATACGGAGAGTTCAGTTTTTAATTTCTAAGGTCTCATTGCTGCCACCCACTCATAGCTGCCACCCCACTCACATACTGCTCCCTAACTTTATGATTTAACGTACGTTAAGTTTATAGTGAGCTACAAATGAAGGAATGCTACAGACGTTCATGAATATGTATGACAAAGAGATTTTAGGAAGTGATATTTGCAAAGTGATTGCACGTGATTAGGGTTCAAAATTAAGATAGTAGAATGATTCATTTAAATATGCTATTGTATTTTCTGACTATACATATATATATATACAATTTAAAATTTGAAAACAAACAGTTCGTCTGCGAAAGTGAGATTATAAAAAATACTCTTTATGATTTAGAATTTAATTTCGGACTTTTCAAAGCTTTAGTTAGCAATTGGCAGTATTAACCGAATGAAACAGTAGTTTCAGAAAGATTTCCGTTATTTCTTGCAACATAACTTTAAAAATAATTTTTCATAAATCCTCGCATTGGTATATCATGAAGACAGTTTGTAGTCGTATAACTGTAAATATGACACAAATGACGTAACGTCACCACATCAACAATCGTCACAACAAGTAATTACTTTAACGGTTGCTGGCTTAGATCGAAAGGTTGAATGATATAAAGCTGAAAATATGTTATAAGCTTTTAAAATAATAAACTAGCTGGTTTATGTTCTATATTCTAATTGCACGTAACACAAAATATGTAAGTATAGGTATTTAAAAGAAATTATATAGGAATTTTGCAGAAACTATAAAATTGGGAGCATGCTTTTAGGCGAATAAATAATTTCGAAAAAATAAATATTTGTAATTTTACTAAATGGTTGTATAATACCAAATACGGGATTAAAAAAAAAATTTTAACTCACTTAACGCATTAAAAAAGAAAAGAAAATTTTAATCCCAAAAACTGAATTTATTTTAAATTTTTAATTCACACTACCGGTGTTTTTAAGCTTAAGCATATAATTCAGAATTGAATAAAGAGTTTGCTTTAGAATTAACGTTCGTTCAAATCAAAAAGTAATATTTTTAATTTTCAATCGCAAACATCTTGAAAAATGAAATTTTAATATTTAATTCCAACATGGAAATCTTCATTATCATCTCGTGAGCGGCAAGGAATGGTGATATTTGCCATTCCAACGAACACCAAGTAACGCAAAAATATTTAACAAACATTAACCCAAGAAAAGCAAACACAGAAAAGCAGCAAATTATGAAACATAAGATGATATACGATATACCATAAATATAATTTTTGGCCACAATACAATCAAAACTTTGTATACTAATATACATACAAATATATGTATATATATCTTTTTATGTATGTATACATATGGCTGTATGTACAAACGTATTTATGTAAATCTATTTTTTTAATGACGGAAACAGTTTGCGGGAGCAGCACTTTGGAGTCGAGGAGGTCGGTTTGGACGCTGCTCGAGTAGTCACACAGCCGACAACGAAAAACTCAGCATCAAATTAATTTCTTGCTAAACTTAGCAACTCCTCACACAGCTATATAGATTGTATGAATGTATGTATGTAAATGTGCAGCATGGTGCGTTCTAAAGGGGACAACGAAACGGCAAGACAAACAAAACCAGAGTGACAGCCGAGGAAGTAATAAGAAAAACAAAAAACGTGACAACCAAAACCAAAACCCAACAAAAACAATGGAGAACAACAAGAGCATAGCAATGACAGCAATGTGGAGCTGGTTTTTGGTGTTCGGCGTTTGGAAAAATTATTTAAAACATATAAAGGCAACTGAACATGTCATTGACCAAACCTAGAGGCAGCAGTAATAAAAGCAACAGTGCTGGCATTCATCTAATGACAAACGCTAACGCCACTTGCAACGAAATGCCAGCTTTTGTAGGTATTCATTTGTATATACGAGTATATATTTGTGTATACATATGTATGTATGTATATACATATATATATTTATGTGCAAGTATTATGTAGTGTTTGTCTAAAGCTGGGAAAAATTGTGGCGCTCGGCTGCGGAGCAACCAAGTGTAATGAGGTCACATATTAAGCCGTGCTAAAATCAGCAGCACATACGCATGCACACAAACACACATAGCATGTACATAGTACATACCAACATTAATTGTGCTTGTCTGCTTTGCCAGCTTTACTGGTTATGAGTTAGTCATCCGTTCCGGCAAAAAGCTACTGCCGGTAAACACAAGCGTATGCATGAATGTATATTCAAAACAGCTAATTCGAATGAAAACATCTACACGAATTTGTTGTCTAAGCCAAGTCGCAACGCCATCAGCTGTAAGCGCCAACTAGCGATTGTCTAAGCCAGCAGACGCTACAGAGATCGATGCACTGCACTGAAATTGGGCTACAACCACTCAAGCAGCCAGCCAATGCGCGAGCAGCTATCGCTTGCACAAATTCGCACGAACAATTTTCGTTCGCATGCCAGCAAAAACAAGAGAATTAAATAAATGGAGTGGCGAAAATCCAATAGCAACTAACTTTAGCTCCAACACGAGAAAGTAACACGCTCAAAAGCCAAAATGTGAAAGATAGAAATACTTGATAATGATGTATAATTAATTAATCATGTGTAGATTTGCTTTTTCTTCAACAAAACAACAAAATGCCCGCCCAATTTGTTGTTTCTTCGCTATTTTTGTGTTTATGAGCGATGTATTATTAGATAATTTGCACCAGAAAAGGCGTTGGCTTCGACACTCACACAATGTATTTTCATATTTGGACTGTAATTGATTTATTTCAGGCTTTAGGGGAGCATTACTATTCCCACTAATATTGTTTCAATTATACGAGTACATATGGAATAAATAACCGATAAGTGACTATTTAAAATGTCTTATACGAAGTTATTTCGATTTTTAAAATTGTCGGAAGTTGTTCCACACTGTAGAAAGTAGACACGGTCTCAACGTATCGGTACTCGCTTGAGTAAAACAATATATTATTTCTAGATATTATCGATTAAGTCGACAACTTGCAAGAATTGCGCTTTTCAATTTACTTTGGTAAATTATATACCATCTGATCAAATTTGACCCGGACTGTTACATTGAAACTGCAAGCAAACCAAATTGCTAAATTTTTGTTTTCTAGATTGGTACAATCTTTGTTATGTTCAAATGAAGCTTGAACTCCATTTGGAACCTGTTTGTTTACGACGCAATTTGTCTGGCGACGGTGTTTATCACGGACAAAAAATTGAACAAAAGTTTGCTTGAAATTTTGTATGTGTATTGCAAAAACGACGTCAAGCAGAGGTCGAAAAAAATATGCCTGACGATATAGCTGTGGACCCTACATTTATTAAACGCATCATTATTGGTGACGAAACGTGGGTTTATGAATATGACGTTGAAACTGTCGAAGCAATCAAGCTAATGATGCTCCAAAAATGAATCGAAATCGAAAAACATAAATTCGCTGAAGACACTGAAGGCCAGCCCAGTAGAGGTTGCTATAAGTGTAGTGAAAATTAGAATAAACATTGGCATAAAAATTGAAGCTCATGTTAATTTGTTCAGAGACAAATAAACGCACCAAATTGACTAATTTCGAGATAAGCGAAATTTACTACTTAAAACTCGAGACAATTTTTTTCGAATTTGAGTTCGCTCCAGAGGGATATGGATCTATGCATCTAGAAACAACAATGAGGTAAGATTTGTACACCTGATGAAATTAGTAAAAAAAAAATGGTTCTTATGAATCTGCGTACTGTTTTTCTTGAAACTATAGCTTTTAAATTAAGTCGCATAAATGGGAGGTGAAACTACTGGCGCCGCGGTTTGATTGTAAATATTTATATGCATGATCTATATTTAAAATTGCGAAAATAATATGGCACGTTGCACATTTTCAAGGGAGCTACATTTAAAAGCTCAGTTTCGCAAAAATCGCTACTAATCAACAAA